AAAGCGACGTGATTGTGGCCGAATAAGGCGATTTATGGACCTTTGACTCCCGTAAAATTCTTCCTATACTTTACCATTGTAAAAATGTCGGTGCTTATTTTAAGAGTGGTTTTGCGAGTTGGTGCCTGTAAAATGGGGTATTTTTGTTTCAAACCATCATTCTGATTCATAGCATTCAACAATCTGTTTTTTAAAAGTGCCGGTCAAGATTTTTAGCCTAGTCAATCGCAGCTATTTCTACACTAATTTTTGATTACTGCAATTAAACTGAAACTCCTAAACAGACAAAGTGGTCATTGTATTATTTGATATATATTTATATATCCGAAACACAACTAAAAACTTACGAATAGATTACAAAAACGCGAAAACGATGGAAAGGTTTACGACGACCCTGAAAATCTGTCTGAGCGAGAAAAGTGTCTGAGCGGATGCGTCACTCTTTGCATCTTGCTGATTGGACAATGTCACGAAGTAAACAAGGAAGTCGATGCTCGTGGAAACATCCATTCAGTCCGCACTTTCCATTTGAAGCCCTTGTTCTTGGCGAATCCTGACATATTCAGTTTCGATTTCTAAAAACATTCTGTATCACACATAGCAATTTTTAGGACATCAGTTCTCTTGGAAACTGAGACCACCTGTTACAGTCAAACTTGGCAATTACAAATTTCGGCGCTCCGGAAGTATGTGTACCAAGATGACTCACAACCTGGACACTAACCCGGTACACTTACTATGTTCAGGTTGTGCGTCATTTGGATCACCTAATTTCTGCAAAACTTACATCTCAATAGCAATGCAAGAACGCAACGTGAGATTCGACGATAAGACGCGCTTTACATTAATCTAATACATAAACTTTCGAAACGCCAAATTTAACGCTGGTCTTCAGCTGCGGTACAGGTTACCCATTTGTTGTGGTCATGTAAATTATAAAACGAAAAAAAATCGTTCGCACAAGGCGAACCCCCTTGAATTCCATTGCTGATTGTATGCGACGTGCGAAATAAAGTTTTAAACCTAATAGTTATCATTGTTCGTGCTACAGCACCCTTACTTCACGCATATAGGTCCCACTGGTGCAAAGGTAAAGATGAGAGATAGTATTTTGAACTCGTAAACATCAAGGCAAAAGGATGATCGTTACTTTTACTATACAACACGACCAAGGCTCGATAATGTCGCCACTTTTCTGGTATGTCCTGGAACGCAAAGGGTATATTGTTGTTGTGCGATCAAGCGCGCGTCTCATTTACTCAGCTCAGTTAGTATTTAGGAGAAACGAATCAAGCAGAAATCAATATTCGAAGACTGCTGTATTAGTTCCGCGTTCGACAAACTTGGCCAGACTTGTAGAGAATGATAAATAATGCATGGCATGAAGGAATAACATGGGTACAAATACGAGTTTTCAGTGATGGTTTTTCGTTATGATTTTAAAGACTTTCGGACGGCATTTTAATTTGTATCCTACACATAAATGTTAATTACAGGCACATCAGATACCCAGTCTCTTCATATTAATTCTGAAAATGTAGAGCAATCTCATCATTATTCTAAAATCATTATTTGTTATCGTCCATATAATGATCGAGTAACCATATAATATCTACAATATCAAGCTTCGGCTGTTTAGTCACATACCTTGTGACAGGCAAATTCAATATTTTCTGCTTAGCATTGGCAACTCAACAGATTTGCGATGCGTCACATTTTGCTATCAGCAAGCAAAGCCATGGACAAAGTTAATCTAAATGTATGGCTGTTTAGTCACTTACCTTGCGACAGGCAATTTTATATTTTCTGCCTATCACTGGTAACTTAGCAGATTTTCCATGCGTCACATTTTGCTGTCCATGGACAAAGTTAACTTACAGCTAATCGCAGAAAACACAAGTTGGATTATTAAATTTATCTGTGACGGATGTATCCTAAATGTATCATTGTATGAGGCACCAGCAGACTAGATTTAATATTCTAGTTGGACCTCTATGCTGCCATTCATAGATGGCATATGATTGTAAGACGAGAGTGACAAGACTAATATATTGTGAAATTATGTTTAAATTGATACAGCGATAAGCGTTTATTGCTTTATTTTCATTTCCCCGCTTCGTTGAATTCAATATTGATCCGACCACATGATTTTATGTTAATAAGACGCATGTTCTATTATAGGCCACATGGCATTAGCGTAAAAATAAGCAGTTTAAAATGTCGTAAGTGACATCGCGACCAGATATCTTGCCATTACATTCGTAACTTATTGCCTTCAGTCCTCCATGGTTACAAGCAGAACCAGCAATTTGTCTTCTGGCGACCGCCTCCCAGAGACACAAATTTGTCACGCATGCCTCGTACACGCGTACCACTTATAAATGTGTTGTGTTCTTTGTTCGCGAACCAGTTTTATATTCCTGCTCATTCCTTTTTTTTTTCGGGTACTTTGTCTGAGAACATTTGCTTCTGCAAATAGCCGGATTGGAAATTTACTTATCGTTGTCTGTGACGTTATTTTTAATTTTTTAAAATGACCAAATTAAAAAGTTGTGCTACTGTAATAAAAGAAGAGGGGTCAAAGGGCAAGCTACTGAATACAATAATAGTGTTGTCATTGAATAAATATTTCTGGTTCCGACGAAGATTATAAACATCCCCATTGAATTGGAAATATTGAAATACTCTTTCGGGGGTATGTTCTGTGTTCGTGAATCGTTTAGTTAAACATTTATAAGGCTCAGGCGCATCAAGTAATACACGTATTTTGGATTGAACAGGACCCGTCTTTTCCGTAAAGGCGGAACATGGTTTCGCTCGACTGCTTCGACGAGAGGTGATACGGTTGCGTCGTCAATGAGAAAGTACTTTTGATGACTTAAGAGTATTTAGTTCTCTTACATTCATTTTGATGGTAAACAGATTTTTTTGGATATAAATATGTTTTTGTTCCTATGCGCAAGTCATCATTTTCGTTCAGTTTATCTAAAAATTGTCGATGATTGACCACATGAATTCATAAATATGTTTTTACAATATTATTTCGGCCACCTAATTGTATTTCGAAATGGACTTGCTAATTGGCGATATAATTTGTTATTTGTTACCGAAGTGCGGGAACTTTTCAGTTTCTTCATTTCTTGCTAAAAACTATAATTTTAGCTTGTTGTATACATTCTTTTGGAAACAGATGAATATTCTGTAGTAAATTTTCATCAATTAGACTTTTGTATGCTGTTGTCCCACAGAGTGAACGAATCGGTAGCTGGTTCCCATATTTGTTATCGTGAACCTGTTAAGGTTTTTCGAGTGAATCACCTCTGCTCAAAAGCTTCAATATAACAAAATTTTCAATCTATCCCCCGAAGAATAAAAAATGAATCAAGCTATTCATAAGTGAAGTTAAGTCGAACTTGATATGCAGAACTTCAGTTTTCAATCAATTTTTGTATTTATTCCATGCATTCGCCGATATTTTTTATTTCTTTGGAAAATATAATGCCGCACTGATCTTATTATGCTATGTTTCCATTCTGAGAACCGTAGGATATCAAACAGTACAATCGCGGGTATTTATATTTTTTTCTGTCGTATTATCGATGTTGATGCAATAAAACACATGATATGGACACGGAGACACGAAGGCAAATAACGGATAGCAGAAATATATTATTGTGGTGTATATGGCAGTATACCAATCGCTTACATATGTTCTAACACTGAGAAAATTTGTTGTAGATTCTGTGAATAATCATCACTTTACGTTTTCTTTGAATTTGTGTTATCCCCATTTATATTATTTTGTATGTATTTGTGGAATAATAGACGGTTTCGGTATTTTCTGTAATGGCAATGTCAACATGTCGCTTTCTGCATACCAATTCAGAATGGTGCAAAATCGGTGGAAATATGTGGATTTTTATTATTAACATAACTTTTCGATCAATTTTGGGAATGCAAGGTATCCTTCCTCCTCAAAAACACAAAACATTCCGTCATATGTAACAGTCAACAAATCGTCAATAGTATGTTTACCAAGAAATGTGTTTGATAAGTGTTGATATACGTTAGTTCCCGGTTTCATTGCTAAACATTGGGTTATTGTTATTCACCATCTAATAATAATAATCCATTAAAGAACAAATTAGAAAAATAATGGATTGATATGACAATCTCAAAATATAGAAGCGTGCGCATATATAAATTTGTAACCAAATATTCGGCTGAATAGTTGCGATCTAAGTTGAATATCGAATAACGAAGTCGTAGTCTGGGCAGAAAAATCTTGCTATTGGGATCGCGAAATTTAACAACCCCGTTGGTCGCTTTACCAAATGAACTACTTCCGCCTAATGCGTTATGTGACATGGTACTGGTTGCCTACGATTTTTGTTTGTTTTAGAAGCGCTTTGTTTCCGCGGTCATAATTATAGATTTTTGTTTTTTATTCTGAGAAATTCCCCGTCCATTTTACGGCATCTTACCCAACTCAGAAATCATATGCGTCCCATGCTATAGTAAAAAAAAATCGGTGACATTTGGTTTTATGGCACAACTGCTTTATTTTTTGTCACGTTGAGAATTCTTTAGATTTCGCAACGTTTAACAACAAACTTTATTTTAAGAAAAAAAATCGGTGACAGTTGGTTTTATGGCACAACTGCTTTATTTTTTGTCACGTTGAGAATTCTTTAGATTTCGCAACGTGTAACAACAAACTTTATTTTAATTGGTAATGATTAATGGCGATGAACAAAAATAATATCCAAGACAAGCTTCCTGGAAAGGCAGCAAGCAGTTACATAACTAATTGTTTGATCTCGCTGGTCACATCGCTCCTTCTCAATGACGTATTATACATATATATATACTGCAGGGTTTATTTCGTGTTGATCGTAGCGTCAATTTTGTATGAAAATGAGTGTCGCGGTGGTGTACAGCTCCTTTACATAATAAAGCGGATTGTCCTTACCCAAACGTTCATAGAATAATTTACCATGTTTTATTAGTAGATTTTATTTCAGTTTCATTATATGAAGAAAAAATGGAATTTGTTAATAATATGATGGCAGAAATAGAACGTTTTGAATTAAAACAATTCAACCTAAAGGGGATTGATGATAATAACATTAACAAAACACAACCATAAAAACGAAAAAGTCCAGTCTTATTCCCAACTGTTGATATTATTGAAGAAATTCGTTATATTCAAAATGGCAATTAGGGATGACATTTCAGCTCACTAACCATACTATCTTACAATGGATGGAGCGAACTTACACTTCTAACAGTTTTTCCATACTGGAGTTTTTTTTTCTGTTATATAACTCCCAATATGACAGGTAAATATCTTCCTAGGCCTTCTTTCATCAAAATATCCAGTAATAAAAATTATAAACCAAAATCGAAGATATTCACTTCCGATTCGTATTACACAGGAAAAACAATGATCCATTTTTTAACAGGTTGACTGAAGTGATAAAGACCAACAGAGATATGAATCTGGTCAATATGGGTCTCGATGAGTACAAGGTATGTGATGTAAAAATTACTTAAGTATCTAGTCATAAAGGTATAAAATAACAAAAGTAAAACTAAAAACAAATTTTCTAGGATAATTTAAATATTATACTGTAATAAGCAATAAAAGAAAACATTGCAAACTGCCAACCGCAGCTACTATTTATTTCATAGTGCCCAATAACATTTAATTAACACAAAGCATGAGCCCTTGGCAAGTGTCTAAACTAGTACAATATTACCCTATTCGTTGTTCATCGACTGCGCTATAAGTCATGAATGATACAAAGTCTACAGCATTCGCACTTGTGGACTTCAATTATATGAGTAGCCAGAAAGACTGTATGGGGTTGATTATAGTAATCATCAATATGAACGTTGATTGTAAGAAATTGGACATACTCAGGCTGCGAGGTTTTTCCTAAATTAATTTTGACATCTGAAAGTTTACCACTATTTTCAAGTAACACAATGTAGAGGAGTGGCATCACAGCCAAGTACAAAACTGTATGATTCGGCATTAAAAATGATTACTGAACAGCATAGTTTGAGGCCTTATGAGTCTTACACCAATATAATAAACCAACAGTAAGTATATGTACCGCAGCGTCTACCTTTATTCAAGGTCTTTTAAAATATTTTTAACAAGTAGTATTAACTTGAACCTTGCTAAATTTTTATTACTTTATTTACTATTCGTACCACATGAGATTGTAAAAGAGCGGTGACCGACTTTTCCTATCCGCTTGCACATGCCGGCTATGCATAAAGCACCATGTCGGTCTTAGTGGCAAGTACTATCATGGTGTTGTTTAATGAGAAATACAGCTATCAACGATAAAAGGCATAAAAAGTCACAGTACAGACTGTAAGTAACACGGTGCCACCAACAATATAAGGCAACCATGATGAATAAGTATTGCCTTTCTCAGATTCCTGCATTTTCTTTTTAATGTCATTAACATGATTTGATAATGCTTCCTTTCTTTCCGAAATATTTCTTTTCCTAAGGTTTGCTGCATTGTTGTTTGCTTCCTCAACCCTCTGAAGTTCCTCCACTTGTGCTACATTAGTTGTATTTCCGATATGATTGTCTGTGGGTGACTCTATATCCTCCTGTTTTCCACGTTTCTCGTCTCCATGTTTTTCAAAGTCGTTTTCAGCTGGTCTCTTTCTATTTTTATCCTGGTCCACTTGGTCTTCTGGTTCCTTTTCAACATCACCATCTCCATTTCCAGTGTCGTTATGCTCTTCATCGTCGCTAGATTCATATGGGGATTCCGGTTCAGACTCTGTTGATGGCTCTGTACTTTCTTGTCCACCAGGGTCACGCATGGCCCTTGCACCTTCAGCTATCGCCAAATAACTGAAGCGAAGCTGTTGTGCAGTTTGAATCAGACCCATTCGATATTTCCTCATCTCTAGAAGTGTTTCTTTAACATCGAATGGTATATCACGCTCAATAAATACCAAACAGGAGTCCACTAAAGCAAAAGTGCCTGATCTGCCTATTCCAGCACTACAATGGATTACAGGTGGACCAACGTTTGGTTCAAGTACCCCACTGTCCTTTACGCAATTGAGGAAATCCAAAAATGCTGCAGGTGACTCAGGGACTCCAAAATCAGGCCATGCTGTGTAGTGAAACTGATAAATTGCTTTTATTTCACCGGTATCATCCTTTTGTAAATTGAGGTATCGTACTGTATAATTTGGATTGACCTGTTGCCGTGTTATGGACACAGTCAACCCCACATCAGTAAATTGCATGGGATCTTCATCCAAAGGAAAATATTGGCTGCATTTGATCGTTCCTTTCTCTATTATGCGATTCAACATAATGACAGCCGCAGAATTTTGCTCCCATACAGTTTGCCAAAAATGGCCTGCTGTGTGATTTAACGGCCCTTGTGCCAGAATATATTTCCGATTTGCATCAGGAACCTCAATTAATGAAGCATTGATATAGTCGTTTTCACCCTCGATCAGTTTTACACGACTATGGTCAAAAGGACTAACATCACGATATCTATTTCTAGTCCTATTTTCTGGTAATCTGGCAGTTTTATACGAGAGATCGTATCCAGCCGTAGTTAACTTTATTTCTCTGAATAATCTGTCCCAGCCATTTCGTTCATCAATATCAGCTACGACAGAATCCATTTTAGTTTAGTTCTGGAAGAACAACAATAAAGTTGGAATTAAAGATGTTTCGGTTAGACATATGAATAAGTTTTTAGTTTTTAACTTCAGTGCGAGCCAACTGTATTTTCCCAATAGTAACTGTGGCATATCACTTCGGTATTCATTTTACAAGTAATAAAATAAAACAACTGATAAGTTGAACAGAACAGAAATAGATTTTATGAATTTGGTTACGAAAATTACAAATATATTTTGTTCATTAAATCCAAATCCACACAAACACAAAGTTTTAAGCAATACAGAGTTTAACTTTTTCATTATAAATCTTATTGGCTTAAGGTCAGTATGATGTTCAAGGAAAAAATATATTCTGGAACCATGATATAATTCTGTGATAGGCAAGGAAGGCACATTCTGACGTTATATAGTTATACTTAACAATAGTTGTTATTTTATTCAACTAGTACAAGCCACACCTACACAGTATAATGCCTTTCAACAAAACATTCGATTCGTTCCCCAAAATAGAAAAATAGCCCTATATCTACGATAAGACTATGGCGTGATGGTCAAAAGACAAGACACCGTCAAACCTTCCAATAAACTGTTACTTAACACAGTAACAAAAGCTGTAAACCATATTGTATTTACCCCTAATTACGGTAAGCGCCAGGTTAGGAACAAGAACCCTATGCTTCGCCTTCTCTGTCCCTCGAGTTCCCGGAAGAAGCCTGACAGTCAGCGATGACAACATAGGACAACAACTGACAGATTCCCCAGCCTTGCTTCCTTCTGCCATCCGCAATACCACCACGGCTGCTGTGGTAGGTTGTAGACTAATTCCGATGACGTCATTTCTTGTCGCAAGTTTCTCTTATCTCCTTTTTTCTTTTCCTTTGTTCTCTCGTTTGATGATATCTCTCTAGCGGCTCCTAACGGTTCACGTATTGGGTTGCGCAAAACACGTTCGTCTGACTCCGAATATCGGTATTGTTTTCAAAATTGACTTCAAATGAGAACCCTATAAACATTGTAAAGATCGATGGTTTTCAAATTTTTAAGAACTGGTTCTATTTCGCATCAAATTCATTAACATGAGGTTACCTCGTTTCAGTATTCAGTTTCCTCATTTCCGAACTTACAACTTTAAAGTTATACAAAAAACATAACATAAGATTACACGATAAGAACGACACGACACGCTTTTCTTAATTAACTTTCGAAACAACAAAAATAACAGTAGTCGTCAGCTGCGGTGCACACACCGCACGTCTAGAACAACGAAAAATAGATCATATATAAATTGCGTTCAAAGCAATTTCCATCGACACTAGGTTTTAATCATTTTTATAAATTTTGCTAATAATTCTGATTTTTTTGATCCCGAGATTATAGTTGAATATATATTGGACTCATCACATATGCATATGATAAATCCCAGTATTAAATTCATTGACTATCTTGATCGAAAACCAGATATGAGATATATTTTTTTAATTATGAATTTTTTATTTTTTTAATTAATTTTTTAAATATCAAAATTGTTTGTTATTGACAATTTTTACTGCTTTTTCCCAATCTTCATCATCATAAGTTGATGCTAATTCCATTTCGATTGACTTATTTCCTTCTTCGACTAAATTATTATATCAGGTGTTTGAATTCATTTTGTTTCATATTGAGTTGTTATTATTTTTTAGCGGAGAGAAAACTCAACTCCTCTGAACTCAACGCCCAAGAATGGAGAATACGATGCAACCAGAAGTTTGCATAACTATGTATCCGAATCCTCTCTGAGGTAAGCAGTGTGAGAATAAATACATGTATATTAATGATTTCAGAAATACGCCATATGTCACATATGTGGTAGTTAAACTTCAAGTATTTTTTAATTTCGAAATTGACTGAACACAGATAAGAGTATATTATTTCATCGCTGCTTCAGCAGAAGTATGTGTACTAACCAATATGGAGGTAACTAATTTTGTTCGCCTATATTACATCAAGTTATGCAAAGCGACTGAAACCTATGGGCAGGGGGTTTATTCACTTGGCTAACACAGAACCGAACTCGTAATAGAACTGAAATAATGAAAATCCGAATAAAATTATTAACCCTAACCTGGTACACATGCCACGGGAGTACCATTTCATCAGCCTGAATAATGCAGTGATCATAATAATAATGATAAAGCAAAAAGAACATTGTTTTTACATTTTAAACTGGGGGATGGATATAACCATGCCTTCATTGAATTCAGCCCCTCTCAAATTCATACTTATGCATAAAGTTTACAATTAAACATTGTAATATTGCAGCAGCGAAGAGTTTTTCTTCTCAACTCTAAAACATTATATCACTTATTTTAATATGTTATAGTGAAAATTGTCAATATTGTTTGTTTTTGTTACAGAAACTTCACTCCAAAGGCCAATGATCATCTTGCAACGGGATATCCAGATATGGGGCCGGTTTGTACCAATTGTCCACTGTTATTGTTTTTTTGGGGCTCCCGAAGTATGCGAACCAAGATGGCGGACATCGGAATGTAATATGTGTACTAGGTTAGGGTTAGGCCATAATTTTAGGTATAAATACTACGGGAGGCTCTTGGCTAGTCTTCGAACTGATAATAGGACTAAAATAAGAAAAAATTGGAAAAAAATTATCGCCTAACCCTAACCTGTTACCCATGTTACGTTCCGATGTCCGCCATCTTGGTTCGCATACTTCGGGAGCAGCGTTTTTTTTATTCTGCTCAAATATTTTTGATATTACAACGTGCAGAGATTTTAAAATTATAAAACAATCTGAGGAATGTGATTTTGAAATAGCTCCAAATGGATCACATTTGGTGGATTTTTGCATATTTGAGCTAGTTGCATCCTTTTAATTAGCATCTCTGGCCTCTGCTGAAAGAAGTTGTCGTATATGTGTCAAAGTGTGTCAGTTTTCTACATTGTGCACAATGATTGGTCTTGAGTAAAAATTATTTGTGTTTTATTTACAGTACTCAACACAAGCAAGACTACGTCAGCATGCGATAGATCCTAGGATATCTCCCTTTTCATCAATACTGCCAAACTCTAGCCTTCTACAGCAACAGATGGCACCATCTTTTTCTGGGTCATATGCCCCTTATGATATGCTTTCATCCTATCTGAATCCATACGCTGCTTTCGATCCTACTAGAGAAGCTGCATCTTATGCTGTGGACAGGAGAACACCTTTTCCAAAGAATTATCATCCATCCCCCGGTCATTTGGGACTTAGTCAAGCTGCTGCTGGACTCCAACCATTGCACCAAGGTTATCAAGATCGAGACATTACTAGAAGTTACATGAATGCAGATACAGCTAACGCTTATTCAAAAATGTTCGCTTCGCAATATAATGGCAGCCCAATGAAATACAACAAGCATACAAGTGAACTAGAATCTTACTTACCATCTAGGCATTCGAGTCATGCAGATAATTATCCACATTACTCAAACAATTATTCTCAAAGCAACAGCCTGAGTAGCTCAAGCAAAGTTGATCAGAGTGGCAAATATCTCTCTAGTGGTTTGACTAAAGATACTTTGAAGCTTAATGATGCTTCAGTAATAGATCTCACAAGCTCAAATTCACCTGGTATGAATGCAGAAGCAGATGTTGTAGATAAAAATAAGAAGAAAAAACAGAAAAGTGAACCACCTCCTTTAGTACGTGGACCTGAATCTGCATTGAAAGAAAATGGCGTCCACGTGCAAAAAGAATTGGACAGAACAAAGGAATTTTCAATTCATCCTAAAAAAGACCATCCCTCCATGTCACCGTTTGGCGTGGACCCTCGTTCGTTGATGTTAACGTATCCTCCAGTTAAACCTTCCAAAATAAATTCTGGAAGTTTAAGTGATCAATCATCGCAACAAAGTAGGTTATATGATCCACCTGGCGATCCAAAACGTTCACACACAGCCAACATTGAATCGCCTCAAAAATTTAATGCTCGGTGGCCATTACCTTCAAGGTATCAACACCATACCCCGCCCCCTCATCTTCAGACACCCCCACACAATGATACTTTGAAAAATGGTCCCCCATCAAAAAGTTTCAAATCAAAGAATGTCTCACATCCAGGTGGTGAACTGACTTTTAATTATCCTGAAGGAGTTACTACCAAATTAGATAGAAACCAACAGGCACTGAGGTACCCACCTTCATTTGATAATGGACTTTTACGGCCTGGATCTCATCCTTGGGCTAAAAAAGATGAATCCAAGCTCTCACCTTGGGAAAACCATATAATGGATACAGCTAGGGATGGTAAGATTCCTTTTAAAAGAAATTACGATTTCAGTTCGCAGGGAAATCCTAGAACCATCGCTGGAACGATTCCAGTAACGAATAAAATATCTTCAACCAAAGCATCCTCACACTTACCAGATTATCAGCATTCAGCGGCTGCACTCGCAGAGAAGTTCTCTCAAGATGCTAATGTTGAAAGTTCAACAGACGTTGCCAGAAATACAGTAATTCAATCTACCCCAAAAACTGAAATGCCAAACAATAAGGATGAAGAGATAGGAAATTCTGATGAAATACAATTGCAATGCAATGAAAATCTCAATGTTAAGTCAATAGAAGATAATGCTATTCAACCCCACAGGACTAGTACAGATGTCGTCAAAACACCTAACAAAATTCATGAAAAAATCTCACCTTCAAAGCCAGGAAGAAAGAGGAAAGTGTCAAATGCAGCAAAAGGTACATAAAATCGAATTACTGATACTCCATGCTTTTTTTGGATACAAGGAATATATTTGATTTACTGGCTTACATACAATGAAATTCTTAAAACAATTTCCAATCGTCCCAATGCCACTGAGACGAATTTGGTTGAATTTAACAGCACCATATTTCAGTGCTTGCTCATAATTTTCAGGACACAATTCTTAAAGATTTGATGATGCAGTAATAATGTTCGAAACAGACTTAACAGCGCTGGCATTACTGATTACACCCCTTAAATTCAAATCCCATGCTCATTATCTCACCCAGGGTGTAATAAGTGTCGGATAATGAAAATTTGTTAAGCCATGGCTTTTTAATTTAAATTTTTATTGTTGAATCTCTGCAATATCCACGTCAATTACTTCTTCTCTTTGTGTTACTTGGTAATATAAATAGGAAACTCATATTTTTGTATGAAATATTTATCATCGTAGATGAAGAACAAAAACCGAAGAGAAAATACACAAAAAGAAGTGAAATATGGAAAAAGAAAGGTCCAAAAACTCAGATTCAACAAATCAAGGATGAGGTTATTCCTTCTCCTACTCTTCCAACTTCAGTAGAAGAATCAAAAGGTAACTTGACATGAATTTCCCTCATTGTAGAACTTTTTGTTGCATTTTGTATATAGCGGGAATTGAAATTACAGTAAGTACCATAAATAAAAAAATGATAACTGTAAGCTAAATTGTGTGGTTCACATTCTTTTTGGAATTGTATCTGTCATATACCATTGAATTCTATCATTCAGTCACTAAAGATTATTTTTATGCGATATTTTAATAGTTTGCAGTACGTAATTATTACGCCTCTTCAGGTTAGAGCTATGGGATTCAAACCTAATTTATACTGGCTCACACTTGGTTTACCAAAAATTTACAATGGCGAAGTAAAAATAACCTGTGTAGTGTACGAGGTGTGGCTAAAAAGAAACGAGACTGACGTCACAGATTGCGCAACACGATTAACCATTGGTAATCAACACTTTTACAGTGTGGTGTAATATGTGTTCTTTGTTCAACAGCTTTTTTGACACAATATCGCAATTATTTTTGCTCTTTAGGAGTCGTAGGTGAATGTGATTAATTGCTTGTTGAAAAAAAAATTGCCGTGCGAGATCTGATTGAGTTTTTTGGCGATAGGGGGTTCAATTGCAGAATGACGATTGGGCAAAGAGTTAACATTAAATTTTGTGTCAAACTTGGAAAAATGCATGTCAACTGGGCAACATTTAATCGTTGAGCTTTCTGCTCCTCAGTCAACAGCCTTGGCACCATTTTGGCACTCACCTTTCACAAGCCAAAAGTGTCAACCAAACTGGTGCGAACCGTTTTTTTTTGTCTTTTCCAACTTCGCAATGACGCGAATTGTTGAGCGACGGTCGCTGCGAATCAACTGCCTTTCACAACTGAACTCACAACTGATACCTTTTCGATGTTGGTATCAGTTGTGGAAGTGCAAGGCCTTCCTGACTTCGAATCATCCTCCACATCCTCCCTGCATCCCACAAATCGCTTGTGCCATTCAAAAACTCTTGTTCTGGACATGGAAGAATCTCCATAAACATCACACAATTTCTTCAAAGTCGCAGTCGCCGTTTTTCCAAGTTTGACACAAAATTTAATGTTAATTCATTGCTCAATCGTCATTCTGCAATTGAACCCCCTATCGCCAAAAAACTCAATCAGATCTTGCACGGCAATTTTTTTTTCAACAAGCAATTAATCACATTCACCTATGGCTCCTAAAGAGCAAAAATAATTGCGATATTGTGTCAAAAAAGCTGTTGAACAAAGAACACATATTACACCACACTGTAAAAGTGTTCATTACCAATGGTTAATCGTGTTGCGCAATCTGTGACGTCAGTCTCGTTTCTTTTTAGCCACACCTCGTATATTCAAAACCATAATAGTTCTTTCTGAATTTGTTGTTCAAAACCATTTTCAAATAAAATATGTGAATAGCAGCACATAAAGGTTAAGTTATCTGATGATATGATGTACTGAATTCATTCAAAATTTGTTTTTCAGAAGAAAAAACTGAACCGAAACAAGCCAATTTAGATTCCAAACCACAAGAACCAGAGCCTGAAGCAGCACCTGTTGAAAAAAGACAAAGAAAGTCAGGAGGTTTGTTTTACAACAGGTTTCGAATATTTAAGGTTTCAAAGTACCTAACAATTGGGCTAATATTAGCCTAAATACGTTACATATCAACTGCAAACGTTGTATATCATTTTTGATGGTAAAAATACACTTGGTTTTAATTTTTTAAATCAAATTTCTAGTTTGCAATGTTTTTGAACCAGTGTCGTGTCTTCATTGAAAATATTGAATCTTGATGACTTATTGCTACTTAAATGGTTGCCTATAACTTGGGTGAAGCTTTTCAGAGACAAAAATTTCTTATTGAGATAAATAAACACATATTCAATTTTTTTCGATAACATTTTGAATTGTAAAATTCCAGATATGGATGAATATTTTTATGGATGGTTCACCGATGAAGAAACAGAAAATGATGATTCAAGTGATGAAGATTATAGCTGCCCTACAACAACTACTTGCAAAATTAACAGAGGATTGAGAGGTAATACCACAGTAACTCATGAATTTTCTTCTTTTTATTAATAAAAAGTTCGCATTTCAGCACCACAATGAACGATACAGAGTGACCCAAAAAAACAGTACCCATGTCATTTGGAACATATTGTAAAGAGAACATAACTTCTCCTAGATTAATGAAACTTTTGGGTACAAACATATAAAACAGAATAATTTTTATATTGCTCTTGTTTCTTGAGTCTTATTGTATTTACATAGATGATTTAATTGACTTTCAAAAAGGATTGATATAACTTTTCACTTTTTCATGACACTCTAAAACCAATAATTCTTTTGTGGTGGTAATATTTTTTTACCTTATACAAAAATTGTGAAAATGGACTATTTTCTTTGTGAAGTTTAAAAATTCATGCACATAATGACGACAACTATTGTCTCGGCTTTGTCTCACTCATATTGCAATTTTTTTATGTGACAAAAGAATTTTAGGCTTAGTTTTGAAATAGATTAGGGCTTACCCAACTGTCCATATAGTCCATTTCATCTGGTCTGCAGAAACAAATATCAAAAGTTTGGTCTTTGTATATTACTGAAATTAAGACTGATGGTGGCAAAAAGGTTTTGCTTGCAGACAGGCAGTTAATGACTTTGCTCATGTAATATTTATGCATAGTAGGGTATATTGGTTTATTAAGATCCTATAAAGCTTAATAGCTGCTAAATTATGTCTGTGTGGAAATTATCACACAAACTTATACCAATACACTAAAACCTTTTTTAATATTTTTTTTTTGTATGGACAAAACATGGAGTTAGTGAAGTTTTATGTGCATGTTGACCCCAAAAACAGAACTCGTAAATTTCCTAATTATTTCTGTACAAATGAAGAAAATATATATAACACTTCAATTTCTGTGTGTGTATGGATATGTTACAAATGATCTGGGTTAAGTTTTTTTTTGGGGGGGGGGGGGGTGGGATATCACCCTGTCATTTGTGTATAATTATTATTCATTTAATATTGAGTAATAAATCTTGCTTAGAAATTTGAAAATTAGAATTTCCTGTTGAAAATATATATCATATTAAATTAGGACAAGCAAAACAACGATCAACCAGACGAATGTCAATGAGACACAATGACTCAAAGACAAGTGAAGAATCTTATGACTTCAGACATAAAAATAATAATGAGAAGATGTATTCGAGTTCGAAACACGAGAAAAGGGGAAGAAGAAAAAGAAGAACAAGTATCAAATCTGATACTCCTGTTACCACAGAAGGGATTCCTGTCACAGATAAAACAATTCCTGTCACAGATAAAACTATTCTTGTCACAGATAAAACTATTCCTGTCACAGATAAAATTATCCCAATCACAGATAATACTATCCCAATCACAGATAATACTATCCCAATCAGAGATAATACTATCCCAATCGCAGATAAAACTATCCCAATCACAGATAAAACTAACTCAATCACAGAAAAAGAATCTGGGAATGATGTACCGAAAGTTGAAGAAGATATAGGTTGGAACAAAACCAATAATGATGAAATGTTCAAAAAAATTGAAGAAAGTTTTCCTATGGATCAAATTTCTGCTGACCTAGATGAAGTGACCGGTGAACTGAGACAAATTACAAAACTTCCTAATTTTGAAGAAACTAAGTTGTGTGAAACGAAAAAACTAGAAAAATCAATCGTCGTAGAAAAAAATGTGATAACGAATGAAATACCTGCACTTGAACCTGTAAGAAAGAAAAGAAAATATACCAGAAGATTGGATAAAGATGGACTTCCAATTAAACGCGTTAAAAAAATAAAATGCGATATTGAAAAAGGTACGCTTGGTGATGTTCCCCGAAAGAAGCGACAGTACAGGAAAACATCAGACCGATGGTTTAAAAAGTCTGTAAACAAAGGAAATGAAGTTGTTGACAGTAATGCTATTGGTAAACAAATATCTCCTGCATTATCAGAAAATTATTTGAATGATAATATTAATCTATCTCAGGAGTCAAATCTAGACATGAAACCACCACTGCATGACTTGAGGAGACCGAGTCGAGAAGTATCTCAAAGTGAGTAATATTATATTGACATTTTTATACCCCTCAGAGCAAAATTTTTGAGCTTAACAACCATTTTCTTTTGTTTGAGGATCTTCTTAAACAGGAACTGTGAATATTGTTTGAAAATGGAATTGTTATGTTCCTATGGGGTTGTTAATGAGGAGGAAGATTCACTACCAGCTAATATTTTTTTTATGGAGTAGCTCAATATGCTCGGGGGTTCATTGCGCGAAGCGTTAGAAACATGCTTACCTTTGCACCTCCAATTAACCTGCGCATAGTCCAATCCTGTGGGAGATAATTATGCGCGAGAGAGTTATTGGTCATCGTTACCATGGAATGGTTCATCCACCAAATCCATGCATCTGAAACAAATAACTGGGTAACTATTTCTGTGCTTAACGTTGACCGGACGAAATGTGGCGGTTCACCATATAATTAGGCTGTTTTATCAGCTTGCCTCTCTTCAAGAATAAATATGAAATTCCTAGACTATGTTTTAGATATTGATAGTTTATTTCAAGTGAATTTCAGTAGAAATAAACATTCCAAATTAATGATTTATTCCTCTTTTCTCAGGTGAAGATATTAAAAGTTCACCAAACAAACGAAAATTATCCAGTACACTTCTAGAACAATCCAACAATACCTCAATAAACAGTACTCAGGAATCCACAATATCGAATGCATCTAAAGTAGAAAATGACAATTCTGAAAAACTTCCTGAAGGTCTCCTCCATATCACCACAAGACTGCACGATGCTAATGTCCAAAATACCTCAAAAAGCGATGACGCTAAATCAGACACTCCAATCAAAGTTAAAAAGAAACCTGGTCGTAAACTAGGATGGAGAAAATATCCACAGCAACAAGCATCTCTGATGAAAGGCCCAGTATTTAAAGAGGAATTTATTAATACTGATGGCAAGCATACTAATGCACCAGTTAAGAAAAAATATAAAAAGCCTAAAGGTGATGGGCTCACAAGATTCGGAAGAAGAAAAAGAGGTCGAAGACCAAAGCATTTGTTACAAAAATCCCCTGAATCTGCTCTTTCAAAATTACAGAATGTCAAGCATAGGTAAGCAAGACTCTTGCAAAGTTATTTTAGAAATTTTCCTGACTAAGATGTAATGGGCATGGTATCCCAGTGGTTAAAGCGTTAAAAACTACTTAAACTATGATGGCATCGCAGGTTCAAATCAAATGACCAACATCTCACCCACATTGTAATAAATTAGGTTATGACAATGCCTTACAAAGAAGGTTGTGGTCTTTTCAAAATTAACCAGCCTCTAGCATGTCATAGGGTGCTTGTTCAGGGTCTTTTTACAGCAAAAAGTGTACGAATATGTCAAAAAGTAAAGTCTGAAAATGGTGATTCACAAAGTACTTGAAACTTCTCTATTTTCTCAGAAGTCATCTACACCTGTAATCTTGAGAAATTAATCTTAGAATGTAGATTTGTAATTCAGTCTGAATTTAAATCATGATTTTAGTGGTTTGGAAATACAAATAAAGGAATCGGGTTGTTTCACCTTTTGGGCTTATTACAAAGATTCAATTATTACTTTACTTTTCTGGGCTTGTATTCTGCTTGCAACTATTTATTCTTTATATTAATTGAAATAGAAAAATTTTATCAAGGATAATTACACTTTGATAATTTTGTTACTCATCGAACTAAAAATGATATTACATTTTCACAGTACACCAAATAAAATGTACTTGAAGCATCATCCTAGAAAATTAAATTTGACATCAAAATTGGAGAAAAGACTTGGAAGACCACCTCTTAAACATAAAAGACATCTTAATAATTTTCTACCTACAGATGTAAGTATTTCTAAATTAAATTTGTATGCCTTATTCATATAGAAAACCATACACTTGCATTTTGGTTGCCAGTTATCTGGCATGAGATTAGTTGACCTACTCAATTCACAGTAGATGTGAACTTGTGATATTTCTATTGACAGTTGCTTACTTCCAGAAATTAACATTTTTTGTTTTTATATATACAGCGACTTCGTACAGCTGGTGATTCTGCGAAAGATCATAGTAACATACAAAAAATATTTCCATCAAATGACAAAAAGGATATTGTAAGTGTTGCATTCATAGAAATTGAAGTGTATTTTGTTTATCAATGATTAATGTAATAATTACGGGTAATTTATATTTTATTATTTATTACACCAACCAAATATCACTGTTTTTCATTAATTTCACATCTGTTAGTCACTATTTTTTCCAGGGCTTCTAAATCTGGTAACATTTATACCTCATATCGATTCCAAATACCGTGCCATTTGAAAAAACAGCACAGACATATGGTCGTCAAAAATTTTGACCTGACTGTAATGAAATTTGGAACAAAAAATTTGATACATGCGAACCAAATACAAGTACTGATTTTACCATATCATTGTATCACCGCCAAATTTTTATACCTATACAGTATATGGTTGTTATTAAATATCAAAATGTATTACTTATTTGGTTTTGTTAACAAATTCATCCCTACCCTACCCTATATACATTTACATCATGTTCACACTTCATAACAATTCTGTATGATCATTACACACTAGAGATTTTCATGATTTTATACATATATGAAATAATTATCAAATAAAATATCAACATGATTCAAATTTACAATATTCTTACAACATTCAATCATACATTAAAAATAATTCTCACTTGAAAAGAGAGTAGGCATCTTGGGAGTATGTCACTGCGTCTTTTCTAATCTCGAATCTTCAATTTCAATTTCCCAGGTTCACAAAATAAGTGATGAATTACAAAGTCAAGAATATGAATATGATTTTACGAATGAACTGTCTTTGTATAACAATGGGGATGATGACGATAATGAAGGTGGTGATCTGAGCCTGAATTTGCCAGAGAATGATGAAAGTATAGCAACTCCGTCCTCTCCGCAGCCATGTCAATCATCGAGACCTCAGACTCCGACTTTCTATCAGAATTCACCTTTTCCATCCTGTAAGTATATTGTATCCTTTGGCCGATGGATCTGTTAACATATTATAATTGCAGGTGATTGGCCAGTTGCCAGTCAGCATATGCTGTGAGAAATTGGAAGAATGTCGATGAGAGAAATGCATTACATTTTGTTTTGCCGGAGTATTTGTCTTATGCATTATATTTCCACAAACGATAAAATTACTTGAATGCAGGTTATCCATATGAATAACTGCTCTGAGTCATTCAGAATTCTAGATATTTATTGTGTTAACGTATAGTCCAACTTTTTCAACTAGGCTCTGAACAACAGGCCTGTAGGTGGGGAATGTTTTGAAAGGGGTTTGATTTTTCTTGATTTATGGAATTAACCGATAGGCCATTATGCTTGCAAGAAAGGATTTGTGAAATTTTGATGTCAATTTGATAAATTAAAAACTAATTGAACTATATCTGTATGTGTGGTCTATTTTAATTATACTGGACACATTGGTTATTACTATTTCATATCTATAGTGTCAATTTTCAGTAGGTCATATTGTATGACTGTGTTTTCTATTTAGACTTGAAGAAACTTTGTTGCAACTCTGCGATTGGTGAAACTCAACTTCACAAAGCTGCTAGAATGGGATTTGTGGTAAGTTGATGTATTTTGTACCTTTTTTCAAATATTGTGAAATTTTGGGCAGATATTATGGTCTCCGATTAGCAGAACCAAATGTAGTATTAAAATTTCATATTACTCGAAGAAATTCTATTAAGAAAAGTTTTGTGGGGTATCGTGATAGTATCGATATTGATGAAGATATTGCTGAAGTTATACAGAACGGACAAGCATCATGGATTAGAAAGTGTCCCCTTTAATCACACTAAACAGTGAAGCTGCGATGATGTACCAACTCCCATAGGAAATTAGAAAAAAAATGGATGAAATAGTGATTTCTCGAATCATGAATATTCTAATTTTTCATTCTAGGAAAATATCCGATATTACTTAGAAAGTGGAACCAATGTCAATCAGACTGATAATGCAGGATATACAGCATTACATGAAGCATGTGTTCAAAATAATTTAGAGGCTGCTATGTTACTCCTACTATTTGGTGCTGATGTCAATAAAAATGCTGTAGATGGTACAAGGTAATATAATTTTTAACATAGCAATCGAATTTTAAATTTAGTTATTTGGGCTAGGATTTTCATATTTATCCTGGGGGAGAGGGAAGCCGATAGGATGCTTAATCATATGATGAACCTTTTGTCCAGTTACCAAGTCCTGCAGTATTGGAATAGTTAACCAGTTAGTCGTTTCAGATTCACAGACTTGATAGAGGTTCTGTTGCCAATTTCCATCAAACTTTTATAAATTATGGAGCATTTGGGCTGAAGTAGAAAGGAGTACCATATATTAGTGGACCATTTTCCTCATTTCTAACATGTCAAACCTAATTTTGATACTTATTTGGTGACATTATGACCTAATGGCCTTACCCAATTTTTCAAATTCATCATTCACAATGTCATTATAATCACCCAGACATGTGGTTTGCAACACATTTGTACTGATTATGGGCAGGTAAAAATATAATCTTCTGAATTACTTCAATCTTAACCACTGATTTTTTACTGGCGGCGACCTATTTAGTCAGGAAAATATGTACGGTACCTAGTAACAATTTCATCATAATTTTTCACATTTTCAGGCCACTTCATGACGCTGTTGAATATGATCATTTGGAAGTGGCAAGGTTAATGTTGGCATGTGGTGCTGATCCAATGTTAAGCAAGTTCTCCGGTCGAGCGATACCACACATGATAAGAAGTCACAAAATGAGAAACTTTCTTGATGGTAAATTATTTTTTATTCTGATCTATCAATTAAAAGCCAAATTATGTAGATTTGTTTGTGAATGGTTATCTTTTGCTATCTCTGGCTTGTTTGAAATTGGATTTGCATGTGTCTCTATCATATACATTGCGATTTGTGGAATAAGGTAAACATTTACAAGAGTAGTTCAAGGGTTTCCTGATTGGTTAACAGCTATCCTACTTGAGATTTGTCCTAGAGCTGGCAGTCATACCCTGCATAGGCATCTGATTGTAAACATGAATCAAATAATCTCAAGGAGGAATGGCAAACCAATCCTAATTTACTGCCTACTGACTTAAAGACTCTCGACTTATAGAGAAAATGCATATTTCCAAATGTGACTAACTCCATTTTATTTGGGCACGAAGACACTCTTTAATTTTTTATAGTTACTTTTAAAGGTATTTCAGGCATTTTATTTTTAAAATCCACAGCATTTGCTATAATATTAATTAAAAACTGAACATCTTTGTTTCAGCTTATTTCAAAGAACTAGAAGATTTAACTGAGGATTGTGAACAACCAAAGGAACTTGAATGGAAATTTCCTTGTTCAACAGTTTTTGGTAAGATGAGTATGATTTATTCTCATTGTTTCGTGATCATGTTCAGACAAACAAGGCTAATCAAATATTTGATTGTATATACTTTAGGTATCGGCCTGTATATACTTTAGGTATCGGCCTGTATATACTTTAGGTATCGGCCTTTCAGATTTTGTTTCAAGCTAGGTGAGTCATACTCGCTTGAAATTGTACCTGAGGAATCAAGATGACTACAGAAATATAATAGGGGCTACGGAGAAACTATTCGGTATTTCTGTGCCATCTGCAAACACAGTTTGAGTTAGATTTTTCAGTAAGCTGTCACTCATATTTATTGAAATGTAAGGAGTTGTTCAGGTCCATATGGCCAGGAAAAGAACTCATTGGTCACATAACTATAGATTTTGGCCGTTTTTATTTTCAAAATTTGTTTTCATATCAACATAGATTTTTATTTTTTACGTTTTTTTTTTCAGATAAAAATACACCTCACTGCTACAATACTTTGGATGAACCACCAGAGATTGAACAAGAGCAATATTTTGAATTTGAATTATTTGATGAACCTCCATGCAATACATACTTACTACAACCTGAAGAGGAATCAGCGTAAGTAGGAACTGCATGTTATCAAATAACAATGTTTATAATAATAGTCCAATTAATCTCAGTCCAATTAGAAATTAATTAATTTTTATTTGACAATTATTGCACAAATTTTGTTCATAGTCTACCATTACTGCATTTCTGTTTTAGCTGCCATAATGTTTGCCTGCTTAAATTATCTTTTTTATGTCTTGTGGTAAATGGTATTTTTTCTTGCAGGAGATCCAACTTCTGTTTACTTGATGATTATTTAAAAGCAACGGAAAAACAAGGAAATAGAAAGGCCAGTATTCGAATTACAACAATAGCAAGAGATCAATTTGTTAGTCAAGTTGAAGGAAACCAAGTGAGATGAATTTTTGACGCAATTATGATTTTATTTCCTCAATAAACGTTTTTCAATATTTACTGGACTTGTATTACTAAATTGAACAAATTAATCCTTTCATAAGACATAAACCACTTTTCTTTGAGTGTAGTCAGTAAAACTTAACCCCGGCCCTGACTCCAAACTACAAAGTTGTTACTATGAGAAAACCAAATTCTGGTAACAAAACAAGCCATCGTGGTACGTGCGAGTAATTCCAATCCCTTTGTGAAGCCTATACCTGAGTCCTATTTATTATCTATGCCCCTGAGTTACAGTATTAGATTCCTCAGATTTGAGCATGTGTTCTTCCACTGTTAAGCTCAATTATACCATTTTAACAATGGTATAAGGAGTTGGGTAGTGTATGCTGAACTAGTCCCTTTTTGTCTCCACAAAACTTAGCCCTTCGCACTTTTGAGTGGTTGTTCATACTGAATCGCGTTAATAGCAAACATTACATAAGATTTAGTTATAGTGTAACAGGCTCATGCAAACTTGTTTGCTCGGTGAATTTATTAATCATTTTTTTTTTCATCCAGATGCAAAACAAATTATTCAAAAAGATGGTAAAACCAAGTTTATCAAGTGAAGTTGTTGAACTCATCGCATTAGACTCTGAGGTGAGCAAATCGACTGGTGCTGAACTTGTTCGAGTGGATATCTTCGAAGATATTTCTCCTATTGATAAACAAGAATCAAATGGAAGTTTAGAGCTAAAAACTGTAGATGAAACTACTGAAGTTTCACCAGAAGAAGTGAATGTGGTTTTACCGATATCTGAAAAAGCACAAATTGAGAGACTGCACACAATAGAACCACGAGATTATGAGAATTCCGCTGAAGTCGCAAGCGTTGATGTCAACGAAAAGACCAAAGATTCTTGTGAAGTCAGCACCCATGGATCTTGTGATGCTGGTATGTGTGATAGTAACAATTCAGAAGCTGAAAGCGAATCCCATTCAAATTGTACAAAAAGTTTCGAAGACAAAACCAAGACAAGTACAGATGTGGTAAAAACAAATGATTGCGGCTCTTCAAATCATCCAACAACAGCAGAAAATTCTACACCTGATCAAGGTAGTTAAAAATATAACAGGCCAAGATATATCCGATTTTGTGAGGAGGTGGTCCATGTGATCAGAGATTTAGCCTTTGTGAATGAATGTTCTGACTAACCTCTGTCATGTTCCTGCACATTTCTGTATATGATTTTGTGGTAATAATGGTGTCTTCTTTGTTCAAACCACTTTTCTTTATCATTGACAAACTGGATTCAATCCAGAGGCAATTCACAGAAAAGGGCCAATTTGTTTTTATTTTTCACTTCCTTTCAATTCAAATCATGTACTTTTCTTTCTATATGTTGCAATTGCTTCCTTTGCGTCTCTATTTCATACAACACACCCTTAATTTCTCTACATTAATATCTCTCGTTTTCTGATTTTTATAAAGTTTCAAATAAAACAAATGCTTTCAAAAGCCTCGTTTTAATTTAGAAAATATATATTTATATAGACAGAAATCGATACAAGAAGGGTTCTCTGTCATGACCAGGGGTCCTTAATTAACCGGATTTCTGTTTACTACACGAAGACAGTTTTTCATGGTGGAAACATATAAAGTGGACTTTCCCACGGGTCTAATTACGATCCTTAAAATACAGGCTGTAAGCATGCGTTGTGTGCATAATTTTAGTGAACAAAGTGTTCAGAAATATATACGCAACATAACTTTCCTGCTTTGTATTTTCATCCTATTTAGCCAAAAGGTAAATCCCCATGACTAGTCACGACAGAAAAGTGCACATAAAGGTAACTACGATGGGCCATAATATTGAATGAAAGTTGTGTTTCAGTAGAAGAATATCCCGAATGCTGCGACGACACAAAACATGGATTTCTGGAAAATAACATGATTGTTTTAAAAATTGTAATACTCTAAATAAATTTATTCCAATTGTCGTAACCAAAAAATTTGGACGTTTACTATGTGTGGTTCATATATTATTGAAACTGCACAATTTGAGTAAAAATGGTCACTCGTGCAAAACAACTAGTCTCACCTAAGACTAAACCAAAGATAATCAATTTCAGTACTTACATTCATAAATATATCTTGTGCGTAATTGTCTGTATCTGAATCCCAAAAACATCTGCATCCCATTTTAACTCCTTCACCTCGCTGTTCGCCAATAACAACTTGCACCACAAATTTGTATCTGTCATACCCCATTGCTGAATGGAAATATAAAGTGTTGAAAACTAAAAATTCTGCGACCATTCCATGAGATAGCAAGATTAATTGGTACGTCAACTATTAGAGAGCAATAAAAAATGTTGTCCTTTTCTTGCTATGGGATTAGAATATTTCAGAAAAACTTTGATATACTGGTTTGTTCGGACTTGTCACTTGTAGACACAGGTTCAAACCTCACTCATGTGTCAGATGGAAATGATAATAAATAAAAAGAAATAACATAAAATAAATCAAATTTTCTACTAAGCAAGGAAATAGGAATATAGCCATTCTATAGTTTAGTCATAACTGTACTTGTATGGCGCATCATCATTGTCTCTGATTACCCTGTGAGGGTTATTTATGTGTGAGAGGATTGCTGTACTCCTTGTCACTGTAGGGTGGTTCATGTACCGCTTGTCGTTTACGACTTCCTCCACCATCGAGTCCATTCATCTGAAAAAAAATACCTGGATAACTAATCCCACGCTCGACATGGATTGGCAATCGGATGAGAAGCCGTGGTTTGCTATATGATTAAGCCGTCTTATCGTCTTCCCTCTCCCCCGGGATAAATATGTAAATTTTATCCTATACCATAGTAATTTTATAAAATGTTGAACGGTTCCTTCAGAAAAAGAATGGGATAGGATTTAGTTACATATTTATTCTGGGGAGAGAAAATCATTATCAAATATCCATATTATAGCATTACCTTTTAACTTGGCTTTTGTATTATTACCAATATTTTGTACCCATTCCGCTACTTGTTCTCCATCATAATCTTTACCATCAAGTTCTTCTTTAACAACTTCATGAATAATTTCTTTCACTTCAGCTGGTTTAAATCTTTGTAGCAAAAAGTAAAATAAATAAATCTCTCTTTACAAGAACTTAATAAGCTGCAAAGCCTTACTTCAATACTTACTTGTGTTGGAAATTCGGCCTGATTAGATACGTATTTTCATGTTGTTGCTGCTGGGGAGCCGGTTCTTCAACTTCAGCTGACATTGCGCAGTTGTAGGGAAAATGAAAATTTTGAGTTGCGGTACCAGACTATCGAAATTGTTCACCATCAATTAAACTAATTGTAGAATTTAATCAAATCTACTAAAAAACATTCAAATTTGTGAAATCTGATAAATCCAAAGGCCAAACACGACCGAAACCGAAGGACGCTTTGGTACCCGTATAAGCTATACCGTAGGCTAGCTGTATAAGGGTAATGACTGTCATTGATAAGGCCAACGTTTATTGTTGCTATCCAAAGCAAGCTTCCCTTGGCAATAAATCGTTTACTATTTTTAACTTATGTATGCCAGGGGTTCTCAAACTTTTGGTGTTGCGGAGCCCTTGAAAGGTTGAATATTATTTACGAAGCCCCAAAATAAATGTTAAAATTGTTACTTTCAGATTAATATTCCTGAGCAAGTTAAAAGTACTTTACTCATTTTAAATGCTGAACCTTTTTTAATATAGGGTTAACACAAGTCATAAAAAAATCTAAAATTCAAACACAAATTATATATACTAAAGCTGTAAATTTGACACTTGACAAACATATTTATAAATTAGGGGGCAAATCTTTTCCCTTTTGACATTTTTGAAAGACCTAAAAAGCCGCTAATAACGTGTGCGATTTCATTTTGTCAGCATGGCCTGTTTTTGAACCTTTAAGCATCTTTACGCCGGTGGAGAATTATGAGTTCATTGTGAAAAACATGTTACCACATTATAGTCATCGGCGACAAAATGCTAAAAATAATAATTAATAAAGAGGTAAATCCGCAACTCAAATTTCTTGATTGAAAAACGGCATTCTAAAATATTAAAACTGAAACTTAAAATGGAAGATCACACGTTTGGTTTAAGCAGACTCTCTTCAGATTGAAAACGCTTTAATAGAGATTGTAAATCACAAAATCTGGTGTTATGTTAGGTTTTCATCGTAGCAAACACAGTCAATTATGCACGCGATGTACCTTTTTTTTCCATTCTGAAACTACCGACGGAGCCGCACGTAATCAATTGTGCGCGCGATCCGCGATGTACCTTTTTTCATTCTGAAACTACCGACGGAGCCGAATGCAATAAAATAAATTTCGATTGTTCGTATTTTGCCCATACATTGTGATTTTTTAATCGGCGATATCTTGCTTAAAAATATTTTCAAGTGCGAAAGAACAAATCAAGTTTGACAAATCCCAAGATCGCAAAAATACGACTCCAATTTATTTATAGTTGGCAGTTTATCACATATATATTTTATGTTATTTTAAAATAGTATTCTTTAAATCAGCCTTAAATAATGTCATCAAGCTGTTATTGCTTCTTTGAACAGTTACAAAATTGGTCAGTATTTTGAAAAGTAATCGAATAGCTCGCGGAGCCCCTGGGTTTCTCTCGCGGAGCCCTGGGGCTCCGTACGGAGCACTTTGAGAACCTATGATGTATGCTATACACAAAAACAAATTCTGGGTAATTTTATATTTATTTGAATAATTTTTAATTATTTTTAAATAAAACTATAACGTATTTTATACTTCATTTTGAGTTACTGTTAAATAATAAGTGATTTATCATTGACGAAAGAAATACATATAAAATGTAGAGAGAGAGAAAGAATTATTATTTTGTCTTATCAGGAAACGAACATTGCAACGATGGAAAAATATACAAAATACGCCAAGTCTGTAAGTAGTGAGGGTTGGAAATCTAACGACTTTAATCTGTTACCGGTAATGGGGCAGATTTTTGTCCGAACATCTCAGTACTGTATATCAGTATATCTATCCAGGTAGCCTATCTATTCGCAAACTCTGAAACTGGCCTTAGCCCAGTGCAGTAGTCTACGGTTCTGCTTTTTCCTATCACAGTTTACCGGTACCGTACTGGTTTGTGGTACCGGTGAACATTGGAGTAAATTTTGGCTGGCTATGGTCAGATTGTAGCTGCAGTACGGTATACTGGTAGTCTATATGGACTGACTGATATTATCTGATACTTCAGCATTTGAACTGATATTTAATATTTTGAAACCACTCATACCGGTATCTGCATATGGCAGTACTGCAGTATGGACCACTGTGAAGGAAGTTTGGACCAGTCTGCCAGTAGGTTACAAGCCTACAACTGCTGAACTGTCTGACTGTAAAAAGGCAAAAAAACAAAAAAAAAACAAAACATGAATTAGGTGGTTCAGAAAAATGTTGGTGCTGCACTTTCGGCGCAAATTCATCAAACGCAGTGCCTTATTAAAATAATATGGCGAGTGCGGTACCTACAGTACCACTGTACCAGGTTATCGAACGAAATGTGCGATTATGCAAAGGACCAGTGCCAAGGGATCTGAATTAGAATTGGGAAACACTACCAAAATTCTGCGATTTATCTTACCTTTTAATAATTAATGAACTAACGATGATTGACGCAGAATGCAGCAGCTGGTTGTGAACATGGCTCGCAATTTTTGTAGAAGGTTACAATTGTGGTGTACGGATTTGCCAGGCATGGTAGCCTAGGGGCCTCGACATCCAATTTTGAACTGTTATTCATTTTAAGTCGTTTTTAAATTTTAAGGCTTTTACTGATTCAAAATTTTTTTTAAATTGACATTCATTGAATTTTTTATTTGGCTTAATGCTTGTCGCAAATATATTCTGTTTACAAAATTAACAATTAAATACGATCGAATGAATGTATTGTTCCAACCAACTTCACCCCTTCAACTAAACAAATATACTACTTCGAAATAAATGAACAGTTTTTTACCATAATAATGCCTTTATTTATTGAAAAAGATGATACAAATCGATATATAGCTATACTCATTCATCTAAGCAATAATTAATCTAAGAATTATTTAATTTTTTTATGATTTTCTGATAGTTTTTTAACGAAGACCCGTTTATTACGAATAACTTTTTTATTAGTAATATTTTATTTATAAGTTGGCCTACCTGGGGCCATGGCCCCTCCCTCACTTTTCCGCGACCGTAAATGGTTGTTATGAACTCTATCCAATGCCATGATTTTATTACAGCCTTGGGTTTTTGAAGAAGTTCTTAAATTTAACTTACTATCCAATCTATTCGGGTTATTAGCGAATGTATATTGCCTGTAAATAAAATTTCGTGTAGTTGATTCTGTGAAACGTTGTGACGTCATTGTTGAAGGGACATTACAATTGAAATAGGCCTAGCTTAGTGGCCTCTTGCTGTCTAAATACAGCCCTGCCTGTACCCCATAGTTCATAACATTTATTGAATAATCATAATATAGTGAATGCCATAACTACTTGAATAATGGCAAACAAAAATGTGATATGAAAATAGAGCCCATAGTTTTATTTTTTTTAAGTAACAGTCTGTCTTGTGGGTAGTATACTGGTATAGCAGGATGAATGCCTTAACTGCTTAAACGAGAATATCGGTCAGAGACCGAAGACTTATGGATTGAAGGTTAGGGGATGCCCCAAAACAGCGCTCTTACTCCATAGTGACACTATGTGCCCCATCACTAATTAATTAATAACTCGCTAATTATACGACATAATTCATCGAAAATCAATAGGCTTCTGATCCGAGCTATGATGATACACATGCAAAATTTGGAGCTGATTCAACCTCGCTTTTGTGAGATATCGCGGGCATCTAACAGAGAGACAGACAAACAAACATACAAACAGACAAATACCTATCAACATACTTACCGATCTTAAGATCAATAGATTAATAACGCTATTAGCCTTGAAAATTTGATTCTAATTCCCTAGCTTAGGGATCACCTATCTATTCATAGTCTAATGACCATATCTGCATAATTATCAGGTACATATATGATGGAGGAAGCTAATGATTCCTCAACTTCTGTTGGGACTGGCACAAGTGAGGATCCTCAAAGCTCAACATATAGAAGTTGTTGGGTATGTTTTGGAACAGATGACGATGAACATATGAAATGGGTGAAGCCTTGTCGTTGCAAAGGTACGACAATGTGGGTCCATCATGCTTGTTTGATGAGATGGATAGATGAAAAGCAGAAAGGCCATTCTTTTACTAAAGTAAAATGTCCACAATGCAACACTGAATATGTTGTTGTTTTTCCACCTTTTGGAAAATTGACGAGTTTTATTCAAACGATTGATCACATTGTGTTTAAAGCTTCACCCATTGCGGCAACCGGAGTTCTTCTTGGATCAATATATTGGAGTGCGGTCACTTATGGAGCAATCACAGTAATGCAAGTTTTGGGCCACAAAGAAGGGTTAGATATGATGGAGCGAGCAGATCCTTTATTTTTACTTGTCGGCCTTCCTATGATACCAGTCGGTCTTGTCCTTGGAAAAATGATACAATGGGACGATTATCTTTTGAGGTTATGGAAGAAACACTCTAGCAAGTTGGTTTACTTGAAAAAGCTGATTTTTGGGACACGCCCTTCACAAGAAGGAACTTCAACCATACTTCCTCCATCTCCAGTAGAAATGCGACAGACAAGAGAAATCAAGTTTACGAGAGTTCTTTGTGGAGCTTTGATCTTTCCAACCGTTGCAACTATTTTCGGAAAGCTTTTGTTTCACAGCGTTGAGTCGAATTTTCAAAGGAGTGCATTGGGTGGCGCATCGTTTGTTATTCTCAAAGGATTTTTGAATATCTATTTGAAATATCAAGTACAATCAAGAATGGGACAAAGGGAAATCAAGGATTATGTAGAACCTGTTCCACAACTGGAGACTGCTACTTGATTATTCTGAAGAATTACCACTGTACATGCAAATTTACTTCATTCAGCTATATATATCTTTGTTCCTTTGAGATTTAACTATGTAATATGAAATTTAATATCAATTCTACAAGAGTTTTAGACATTATACTTTTTGAAACTTTGATCCGGATAAATCAGCTATATTTGTGTTCATATTTTTTGCATGAGCAATAGCAAGCCGAAATATTTCTAGTATTTTTAAATCGCAATACTAATTTATATGTTTATTACTAGAATGACAATTCATGTCTTATACCTGTTAGATTAGTGGTTTTCAACTATTTACTGATCGCATACCACCCAACTGGTTTTTACTCTGGCTCCGTACCACTGACAAAACCATATTTTAAGGGTGGGGAACAATGGCACAAGAAACGCACTGACAATAGGAGTATTTCATAATGTGGCGATTCCTGATCTCTGGAAAAACGACGGGTGGTGCTATAAATGCAGTTCAGCAAAAATATACAGTATTGAAGATAAAGGGAAAGCGTTGCCGACTTATTTCTGTCAACTCATAAGTTAGTTGTTGTTAATAATTCAGCAATCCAAAGCTGCTTGTGTACCACTAGTGCTATGCGTACCACATGTTGAGAATCACTGTGTTAGATGATCCATGGAATCTAAGATTTGACTTGTCTGCATTTTGACTTCATACAAAAATATGATGTCCCTGGTTCTGATTTAAATTACCAAACTCAGTGCAGAATCACAACTACTCAATAAATAATATTCATGGGGTAGTATCGGTTTCATAAGCAGTATCTGCATTTTAATTAGAAAACTGCTACATGTGAATAGATTGTTTTTATATGGTGTGCCCTATAGCCTATATTTTGGATCATGTTATAAGTTCATTATTTGTACATGACAGTCTTTGTCCAAGACCTATCTAATATTTGAATACATTCAACACTGAGAAATATTAGATATAGTGAAATATTTTTTGAAAGAATTTTAAAATATTTCCATTTGAAAATTCGTCAATTTAAGCACTTGGCATCAGAGGGTAGGGTGAATAATAGCTTTAATTCTGATACTGTAGAAAATCACTTAAGTCAATGTATATCTAAACTACGGTATTCATCTGCATTACCAAACTTCCCTGCAGAGCATGATCCTATGCAGGATGTATTTTGCCATTCATTGCATAGTTAAAATTTCAAATCAATATAAAAATTCCAATGTCAATAATATATTTTTTGTTCCATTCACCTTGCCAAAATATATCCTGACATGTAATTTTATAATTTATAAGTCACTGCAATCATGAATTGCTGTCTTATTCAACCCATATTAATATACAGAGCGCTCAGACACAATGCATGATTATGCTGCATTTATTTGTATTAATTATGAATTTATTTATGTGTTTACGTTATTTATGTTTCTTGTGTATGGCAATGTTGTTATTGGTTCTATGTTTGACCTTTTTGAAATTTTAAATCTCGCTTTATCAGCAATATGGGTACTCCCGAAGTATGTGTACCAGGTTAGGGTTGGGCCGTAATTTTATTCCAATTTCCCCTATTTTAGTTCTATTGCAAGTTTGAGGACTGTCTGTGTTAGCCCCATGCCCATAGGTTTCAGTCACTTCACACAATTTGATGTAAAATAGGCGAACAAAATTAGTTATTACCTTCATATTGGTACACATACTTCTGGAGCGCTGATATATGTCATTGTAGTATATGACAGGTCTAGACTAGCTATCTAAAAATAAATTATATATTGGCACAGTATTTTACTAGTAATTGTAAAAAAGGGTTAGTTAAACAAATATTGTTGTAAAACATGAGCTGAACAAACTCTTTGTTTTGTTTTTTGTTATTTAATCTTTAGAATATCTCAATAATAGAGTAGTAAATACAACTTGCTCATCTGTCATTTATGTTGGTTTATTTTAAGTTTTATCAAGTTATTCCAACATGGAGTTCCATTCCCTAAATCAATATCTGCAAGAAGTAAGTGTTACAAATTTATGATCAAATCCCAGTCTCATTTTTAAAATAGTTTTGGTTTGTTGGGTTGCTTTTCTGAAGCATTATTCAAAGATTTTGAACCTGCTATTAGATATTTTGAATTATTCTTATTAAAAGGTCTATTTTGATTATTATTTCTACTTTGTTATGTTATTTGCAACATACATTTCAGGTATCTTAAATCGTTGAAATTAGTGTTTTGAAATTTCATTCAGATATTTGTGCATGCTTCTTTTTTCAAGGTTTCAACAGCATTAGATGAATGTGATGGTGAAGCACTGGCAAGTTTTGTCTCCTTCAAAGATCCCCACATTGCAAATTCCAAGCTACAGAGAGATGATCCAGAGGGAAGTTGCCAAAGATATTTAGAGAGTCCATATGATAAATTATTTGCTGCTCATGTAAAGTAAGTTAGATTAATTTGATTTTTAATTAAGATTTAAGATAGGGGTCCGTCATGGAATTTTTTTAAAAAAATTTGGAAACCACTGATCTGAACTGACTGGTCTCTACAGTTCTTTGGTGTTTGTCTTGTGGTTCCATAAGGCACCATGGTGATCCAGTTGAAATGAGAACACCTCTATGTGCATAAAAGCGTCTTAGAGTACTGAAACTTTTGGGTACAAACAGAAGTTCCCTGCAAGTGTAGAATAAAATTTTCTTCATTTTTGCAGAAGTGATTGAATAATTTATTGGTTCTGTTTTTTATGTAGCACTCGATATATCCTGTTTCGTGAATAAATAAAATGCACATTTATATATATTATTCATTGTAACATTTTATGTGTAAGTTGTGTTTTAGATTAGCTTATGCATATCATGTTCATTTGCAGAGCCTGTTTCTCTGTTGCAAGTCACAATTTCAAGGATGCTCATGGATATCAAGTTCTGGCTATACAGTCATTTGTTAAAGCTTTCCAATTACAAAAAGATGAAAATTGGTAATTTTTTTTTTCATGTCACACCACAGCAGAAATATTTATACACAGATTTCCTTTACAAACCTTAGCTTTTGGCATTTCAGTGTTGCCCGTAACTTTGTTCAGAGTTAGTAATTTTCACTTCTGAGTGTGTGGGACTCTGCTCTGATTAAATTATTTTAAAAATTTAAAAGCAATAAAATCTTTTTTAACTCAAATAATGTTTTTATGTCTCAGTACAGGACGTGAATTTGAAGTCTTTTTGATCTCATGTGATCCCATGAAAAAAAAATACTCACAAGCACTTGCTTTGATCAGTTTACCATATACACAGTAATTATAATGAGTCACAATATTTGCTGATGATGACTTGCAGTAGTTACTTCTGCATTGTATGACCTAATAAAAATTACAATCCGTAATCGCACCTATTTGATGTTTAATTTTGTGGAATATTACGTGAGTAATCATGGACCGGCCACTCCAGGCTAAGGTTGATAGACCTCTCATGTCACTACTAGCATTTGATATTACATATGGTATTTACTAATATGATGTATTGTTTTAACAGGGCTCTTCCAATCATGTATGCATTAATTTTGGATCTGAGGACATTTGCAAATAATGTAAGAGTATAATTTCTTTATTCCAAGTTAGTTATGATTAGTTTTGGTATATTCAAACAACCATTGATAATTATCATTTTTAACTTCCAATGACTTCGTACTGATTTGTAATAAAGCTTAAATATTTACAGGCTGATAGAGAATTACAAAGAACGGGCAAAGGGAAGAAGGGTGATATGCTGGAAAAAGCTGCAGACACTGTGATGAGCTGTTTTAGAGTTTGTGCTAGTGATGGGTATGTGACATGTCAAAGAGTGAACCACAGCTTGTTTACTTTTGTTTGCCTAACTTGATTCTGGTCCAAAAACCATGCCCACCCCTGTTTTATAACAACACAATCTGTTTGGATTTCCGCTTCTGAAATATCCATTATCTGCATTGGATGAATTAGTAATCTTAGATCATGATTTCTTTGATCATTTTATATGTGAAAGAAAACGCGGAGCTATCAAGTCAATGGGAAAATCACTGATAAAAAACTTAGTTAGAAGCAGCGTTTATCGGGCATAAACAGCTTTACATAAATTTATTTAGTCTTTTATCGAATATTGCTATAGTTTTATCCCAATATTTTGAAGGTGTTCAAATTGACACTGACACTATTATTTGCAGGAGATCATCAATTGAAGTGTCAAAGAAATGGGGAATGTTATTTTTAGTCAATCAACTTTTTAAAATTTATTTTAGGTAAGATATGCTTTCATTTTACCTCAATTTATGACCAACGTGTTATAGTATTAAAGATAACCAACACTCTCATTGTTTTCTTTTTATCTTCCATTTGTTTTTAAACAGAATAGGAAAACTACACCTTTGCAAACCATTAATTCGAGCCATCGAGAGTAACAATATAAAAGAAAGGTTTACTTTGGCCCAGAGAGTGACCTATAAGTAAGTCTGTCAGTAAACTTCTGGTTATTAGGCCTAATCATTTAGGATAATTTTGACCAACAAGTTGGATTGGGTAATTATTTTAAGAACTTGAGATTAAAAATTTGTTGTGGATGGTAAAACGTTCAAATATCTGTACTATTATGCATTTTAGCACCTGGATGAAGTTATCTACGTCTGAGAATTTTTTATTATTAGGTTAACCGTTAGCCAGACAAAACTGTTTACTATTGTAAATTCAAATTCTTCGACGCTATTTATGAAAAGTATTATTGTGTTTAAGTTCTTTAATTACCATAATGTGTACTCATTATGACATTCATTAGAAATGGACTCTGAACCTGTCATGAAATTCTCTGAATTAACCGTGGGTATATAACATCAGTCATGTTTGTTTTTAGGTTTTATGTCGGTCGTAAAGCAATGTTTGACAGTGATTATAAAATGGGTGAGTTCACATAGGAATTCATTTTGTTTACCTGTCTTATTGCTTTTAATACTGGAATTATCCACTTGATTGATGGAATTTCTTTTTTCTGGACACACATATGTTATATCATTCTTTATACGCTCAGTTCTTGAGATTTATCAGTGTCTATGTCTATGTCTAAATGTAACCTTGGCACCCCAAACTAGTGTTGATGACACGACACATTGCTTTCTAGGCTGCTCTGAAATCAATAAAACAATCCCTAATTTTCATATTCTGTTCCTATTTCATTCAGCTGATGATTATCTAACATTTGCATTTGAGAATTGTCACAGAAATTGCAAGAAAAATCTGCGGATGATTATGACGTACCTGGTACCTGTTAAAATGTTGTTGGGGAATCTTCCTCCACAAGAATTATTAGAACGACATAATTTAACGCACTTTGGTGCTGTGGCCCAATCAGTAAGGTAATTCCAGGTTTCTTTTTCAATTCCATTTTGGAGAATCTCGTTTCAAATTTGATGCACAAATTGCTATGTTCAATTACTTTACAGGACTGGAAATGTTCAACTTCTTGACAAAACTTTGGAAACGCACGAAACATTTTTCATAAAAACAGGAGTTTATCTCATTTTAGAAAAATTACGAGCAGTTGTTTTAAGGACACTATTCAAGAAAGTTACAGAGTTGCTAAAAACTCACCAAGTTCCATTGCAAGCGTTTCAAGATGCTTTGGAAATGCAAGGGGTAACTATAAACTTTGGCAAATCATCTATTAATTCATAAACCAGATAAACAACATCCATCCGCATTTAGAACCAGTTCAACTGAATCAGACATTTAAATGATTCTGCCCTTGTTAATGAAATACGGCAAAAACATTGTATCACAGCTGTTCTAATGTGTTGTATGGAATCATATGGCAATGCCACCACTCATTTTTTTATTTGCTGCTGTGGGGAACGCTGAGTTGTTAAAAACAGGACATTCATTTATACAGAGTGACCCCCCCCCCCCCCCCCCCCAAAAAAAAAATACTTTTATGAAAATGTTCCTTTTATTGTTTCCAGCTTGCTGACATAGATATGGATGAAACAGAGTGTATCGTGGCTGGTTTAATATATTCAGGAAATATCAAAGGATACATATCTCATCAGCACAAAAAACTTGTTGTCAGTAAAGTGAATCCTTTTCCTCCCATTGCTGCATTGTCATAACTCATAATACAAACTCATTTTTCACTTCTACACTGCCAAGATTTTGTAATAAAACATTTTATAACAATTGCATTCCAATCATGTTATTTTGGAAAGGTGTTAATGGCAATGCGCTCGAATTATTGATAGTGATAACGATAAGTAATGGAAAAGGCTAGGTAAAGCATGATTGCTTGTATGTTCGATGAAAGAACAGTTTTTCACATTCTTTGATTTGCTGTCATGCTGATGAAATATTCAATCATGCGAGGCAAGTGCTTCAATGTATTTTTTTCATGTCTGAAGCATTATACCATCTTTATTTGGGCTGTTTATATATAATTTAGCTAGGCAAGACTCCCAGCCCTGGATTCACATATGCGCGCCTATCTGTCTTCTGAAATATGCCAAGGGGAACAGTCTACTTATACATGTATACCTACTCGTATTTGTTATTGCTGGATAAAACAGGACAAAGAAGTGACCCCATTTGTAGAAAATTCCTGTTCTACATGAGCAAAATTAAACCAAGTTGCCCAAATACTGGATGTATGGTACTGAACCAAGCAAACGACAATCAGAAAATATTAATATCACCATTTTATGTAATTGAAAACAAAATTATTAATACAAATAGGGATTTCTTGTCCTTTTTACTTTTTCTTTCTTATTCTTATTATTGTGTTTTTTCCATGGTTTAGAAAAATCATTTTCACTTTTTGAACCTTTATCACCGCCACCACCCAACAGTGTTCCTTTTGTAAATGCCTTCACATTCTGTGAATCAAAAAAAGCTTCATCAACTTCATTTTTGGGTTGAATTTGATCCTGCTTTTGTAATCTTTCCACTTTTCTTTGTGTGACCAATATTTCCTCTATTGCATTTTCATCTGGTGCATTTTCTGCCATTTGCAAGACATGTTGAATAACAGAATAGTTCCAAGACGAATACTTTTCCTGGTCAGCAACTTGAGGAGAGCGACAATATAATAGCTTACCCTTCACAAAGTCTTTCAAAACGATTCTTGCTGACCTGGGGTTGTCAGGTTGACCCCTTGAGGTCATGAAGCCCCTCATTAGTCCATATGCGTCCAATAATTCTTGTGATGTAGGTGGACGAGATTCATCTTCCCCATCTATAGGTTTGGCAATGTTGATACCGTAGGTAACTTCCAATACTTGTCTTGGTATTCTTTGGCAAACTAAGTTTATTGGGCCAACGTGATCTCTCATTTCATCAATAGATAAAATACCACTTAAGATCATTTCAGCTTTATTTGATACAAAGCTCGGAAAAACAAGACCTGGGCAGTCACAAAGTATAAAATCATTTTCTATAAAAAATGTCTGAAAATGTTTTGTGCGACCTGGTGTTGCAGATACTGCAACCTTTTTTGATTGTAATATTGTATTGATAGTGGAGCTTTTACCCACGTTTGGGTAACCTACCATCCCAACAGTCCTACACCCCTCTATATGATGCAGCTCTGATTTGAAAAACGAGATTAATTCATATTTATCCAGCATTGATGGGTTGTTTTTATCGATAGGTTCATATTTCTCAATACTCAGTGAGTCAGGTTGAATAGTATTCTCAGCTTCTAGAGTGGCAGACCAGAATGCCACAATTACTCCTTGTTCGTCAAAATATTCAGCCCAAGCTTCTCGCTGCTTTTGACTCAGAAGATCTGCCTTGTTTATAAGAATCATATTTTTCTTATTTGGATCAACATCCTTCACATAGTTTTCCAAATCTTTACATCTGTATAGCAAAGGATCTCTTGCATCCACAATTTGAACGACTAGATTACTTCGTTCAATGACTCTCCAGAGTTGCCTCCAAAAGTCCAAATTCTTCTCATAAGGGGTCAGTGTGATATGTTCCTGCTCCTGAATTTCTGCAAGAGATCGTCTCCACTGTAAAAAAGATTCTTTTTCGGCTACATTTAGTTCTTCAGCGGATGTTTCACTAGTCCATTTCGGTCGTTTTGGAATGACAATTTTCTCTTTATACTTTTCTTGCGTTTCCTCGATCAAACGACTTTCGATACTGGATATTACTCCAAAATTGGCTGGTTGAACATATTCAATGTTCATTCTTTCCGCTGTGAACTCAGTTCCTGCTAGCTCCGCTGTTTCTAGAAATTCATCGAGCGATGACAATTCTGTTACAGATTTCAAATTCAATGTAGCAGGATCTGCAATTTCAGCATATTCTCTCATATGTTGTGAAGATGCTTTGTTTCCAGATGTGTTATGTCTTCCTCCAAATCTCTCTTTCATTAAAGCTCTTCCCAATGATGAATTATTTTTCTTTTTTTGTGGCATTTTCAGGTTTCAATTTTTAAATGTCTAGAAAGTATAAAATTATTTCATCAGTTGTTACAATTCTTAAAATATTCCTAAACTGCATGGCTGTTAGGTTACAAAGCGTAAATGCATGAATTTCAATATTTGAAAATTTCACCATAATTTTAGTGACGATGATTCAGAAAGTTTAAACCAGGGTTTTTCAAAGTGGAGGGCATTTCATCATTTGGTAGTCACTGAGTTCAGGAGTTGTAATTCAGTACCGGTACCGGTAAGTCATTAAGTAAATGCTGCTAAGAAATTGTTAGCAAACATGAAAACACTGGTTTAAACATATTACTGTATTATGCTGGATTGAAGTCACACATTCTGACATTTGTTTAAATACTGCGCGGCAGTGTGGCTCAACGAGCTAAGCGTTAGGAATACACTCGCCACCGCACCTCTAATTACTCTTGCGTGGGTTCGCATCCTGTGCAGGGATGGTTATGTGCGAGAGGATTGCTGAACTCCTCGCCCTCGTTGGGTGGTTCACGAAAGATCTGGTCGGTTACGGCTTCCTCCACCACCAAGTCCATGCTTACGAAAACAAACAATATGACTAATCCCATACCCGACTTGTAACCGGAGGAGAGGCCGTGGTTCGCCATATGTCTAAGTCGCCTTATCGGCTTTCCTCTCCACCGGGATAAATTTGTAAATCCTATCCTATACAGAATCACCTCCCCAGTAACCTACATCATTGTACGTGGGTATACATGTCACTCCCAATCCTGCAATCCCGTGAATCAATGTCTGTTCGTTATATTTGTCTAGTTTACATGCTGCGTAGTATTAGGCTTAATTAATCACTATCGTCTACTTCATCATTCTTTCACCAGTGCGCAGCGTTCGAGACATCAGCCATGGACCGCCTTCAATTCGGCACAAAATTTTTGCTAATTATATACACCTCAATGCATGGAACCGATAGACGTTTCCCCGACCCTTGACCCCTGAAAAATTTACCATACAATTTATATGGATGTTTCCTCGACTTTTGACCTTAAGGAAATTCTTAAGAAAAAGTGTTTCTCCACTGGATGTCACCTGCAAACGGGTTTACATATTTAAAACCATAAAATATATATCCACGTACAGCTTTCAGGTACCGATAGCTAATTTTGGCCTAGTGAAGTATGGAAACTTTAAATTAAAAGTTGGCACAATGAGTTTGGAAAGAACGAGTAACATGAAAATAATGGGGGAATTATTTTTGATTGAAAGCTTACAAAGAAATATCATATAGATTATCTTTCAAAAAAAACTTTCAAAATTACTTAGAATGCTATATAAAATGAGGTGATTTGTTAATCTGGAAACTCCTAACGCTTTTTCATAACTTCGATATGGTACCGGTATGTTATGTTGGGATAATGCGACAAAAAGTGTTCTAAAACCTCTTGATATTATACTAAATAAAATGATTAGATGCATTATGTACAAAAGGGTCACCTAAACAAACACGTAATAATAATGCAAAGCTGTATCATCAGTGCGGATTTCTATACCTGAAAAAATTTTACATAAGTGGAACGGGAAAATTTATATATCGTTATGAAAATCTGCTGCTGCCAGATTATTTCCAAAACTACTTTGTCAAAATCATCACACAAGTTGTATTTCACCCCACGATATCATTCTTCAGCCATAAAGAAATCGCTTAAGCTAGAGGGCTTTGAAGTTTGGCAAAGTATTCCCCAGAGTATAAAACAATGTTTCCTTAAATTGTTCAATCTCAAATTGAAACAACACTTATTAGCAGACTGTAATGTGACACAATGATGTGCAAATTTCAATGTATGCTATCAAATCCTTACAATAGATTTCACAGCCAGGTTTCTGTACTTCTGTAGAATAATATTGAAGATGCTATTAGATTATCTCGTATATTTCCTGAGTGAGAGAGAGAGAGAGAGAGATTTTATTTCCACTAAACAATGTTTCAAATAAAAAAGAACAGACAATATCACAGATTTTTATCGGAATGCAGTGCAGTAGATAATTTAAACATTGAATTGTGATGGTCAGTATGCAAGACCTTTACAGGTCACCGAGGCTCCCGACCATTTTGTTCACTGTGATTAAGCTTAAAAAATTGAATTCATTGGATTGTAACAGTATAAAATTTGAAAAAATAAAAAGACAGAAAACGAGTCGACAAATAAATGATTTGAATGAAATGATAAATTTTCTATGATTCGACACTATATAATCATGTTTATTGTAGAGTTCAGAGGACATGTGTAATGTTATACTACACTGTGTTCTGGTACAATACTATTCACTTTCACAGAAACCTGGTCGATATATATAAAAATGAATAATCAATATGGCGATAAAAATATCACTGATTCAATCATTGAACAAAATTAAACCTATATTACATCAAAAATAATGTAAGAAATATTAATGGTATAGAACAGGGGTTCTCAACCTGGTGTTCGCGAACCCCCAGGGGTTCACGAGAAGATTTCCAGGGGTACTTGTATGGCAGTCGAGTTTTTGTGTGTTGCTGTTTTTTAATACCCTTTATTACTACCAGAGGAAAATGCTTGTCCATTGATGCTAGATGCCAATTGAAACGTTCATTTTCCCTGATCTTGCGTTGCTGTGACTGTGATGCAACAATGTGAAATTCACGGCTTTGCAGGCAAACTGTGAAATCTTCAAAGACAGCGTGCTGCGAGCATTGCAGAAAGTGAATGCTTATTGCAACTTGAGAGCGATTTCAAGAATTCATTAGTTAGGCGGAGGACAAGGGCAATATTATCAACAGGAAAATTTAATTTAGTTCGCGTTGATTGTTTCGTGAGTCGGGGGGTACTTGACAGAAATAAGGTTAAGAACCTCTGGTATAGAAGCTTATATTGATAAGTTTAAACTATTCTGATACCGATTAAAATCGATAAGTAATAACACAAAAGAGCTATGCTCAAATATATGGACATGTCACAAGGTTCGCTATTTTTTTATTCTGACACATAAAAAACGAATTTTTGAAATCCACTGAAATTTTTGAAATAAGTAAAAGTAATAGCCTTCTGGCGAAAAAATCAATCTTGAACCACTGAAAATTTCAAGCAATTGGTCTAGTATTCGAAGAGAAACGCGATTTTATCTTGACGAAAGAGAAGAAAAACAAGAACAACAACATAATATTGAAACGATCGTCATGTCCACTGACGTGGTTCATTTCGTGTCCAAAAAGGAAATCGACGCTCAGAGAAACATTCATTGCGAGATTTTTGATACCGGTACTCGAAATATCTGTTCATATGTATCTTTTTGCTATAACGTTGTCGTCGAAGCGAGTTCAACGGTACCACGATCGTATTAAATTTTTGAAACCCTTTGTATCTGTAAATTCCCAGATTTACTCATATTATATATATCATTATATATACTTATATACGTGAGGCTGTCAGGACGGCGAATAGGTCTACAACCATCTCGCATCTTCTTGCATGGTATTAGCTTTGAATAGCAAGCGAGACGTTTATTCTTTGCTGATTTGCCGAAACGGCGTGACCCTTCCTCTTTATGTAATTTTAGGTCCACAGAGGTAAGAATTGTTCTTGTATAACCGATACTTGGTGCATGCTTTTAATAGGCCATCACTTACATGGGGTGGAAATTGGCAAAGTAGCCTGTATTACCCAAGCATTAAGTAGTTTTATTATCTTCGTTCGCCATCGTAATAAAAATGAAAACTTGTAAATCCACCATGTACAAAATTCATACAGTATATAGTGCAAATTGTCTTTTGAATATGTCATCCATACTTCAATGCGTAACATCTAAAAATTGTTGTGGCTCTTGAAAACTGAAGAGTATGAAAAGCACTTGTCACAGTTCTCGTGATAATATCACTGTAATATCACTTTTACTTTTGAAGAGAGAATTAGTACACAGAAACTAAAACAAATCAGGTGTTTTATATTAACCAGCAGGTGGAGAGAAAAATCGGTATAACAGCAAGATAATATTCCGAACAGCAACTTCTCGTTTATTGTTCAAAAGATGGCAATGGCCACTAGCTTTGTCAGAGTTTTGAGTCGACATGATTTGTAATTGCTGTAATGTTTCGTCTGATCAAATTAACAAAGTTTATTATAGCCCAGCCCGCCTTTATTACCTATATAATTAGAGCAACATAAAAATAGCATTCCTCTATTGACCGTGTTCTTGAAAGTCACGCGTCGCGGCTCATGAAAGTAAAAACTGTTCGATTTTATACCAACGTGTTTGATTGAATTCCGCATTCTGATTAATATTTTCGAATGTGCATATGGATACCAAGTATATATATGTTTCTATGTACAAGCTATAGAGCGCAACTTTCGGGGGTTTATTTTAACCACGTGAACGGTTACAGCGAAAAAGCGCAACTCAGGCGTGGTATTTTTGTTTTCAAGTTGAATAAGGAGATATGCACCAATGATACATGCGCAGATTGTGACCGAAGAACAAAAAAACAACGAGCCTAAAATAGCGCAATCTCATGATTTTACGGAAAACCCAGTATGAAGTGAAGCTGCTAAAAAGATATTATGAGTGCGTGAAAAACACCTTCAGCAGCTTTATTTGTTTTCCAATCGATTAGCAAGTATATCTGTAATCTCACGTCAAACACATTCTAACTGAAAATAACTTCAACATGGTAACACATTGGTACTGTCCCATAATTCAGATACTGGGAACAATCCTGGATATTTGTATAATCTAAAATTGGACTATGTTCAATAATTTTTGGACAACTAAAGCTTACAAATTTATTCTTGGTAATCGAGCGGTCAAAAATGGATGTCGTTGGAAAATGTATGACTGCTTCTAATATTTCACAAAAAAAAAAAGTGAACCGGAAGATATAACTGCAACATACGAAATATCAATTTCGATTAGGTAAAGTAAATTATAAATATACTTCTATTATACAGAAGCACAAAGATAACTCGACTAGAACTATATTTTTGTTTGTAACAGCTCTGTCTTCTTTTCGCCTGGAGACGTATATTACCATAATAAAGAGCCACAAAATACTCTTACTAATTCGGGAACGTGATGATACTTGTTGTCTTCAGAATTTGTTTTCAATAACATCAAATAAATAAACTTGAGATGTGGCTGAATACATATGCCTCGAGTGCAGATTTTCGCATTGATAGAAGTGTGTTGATGGTTATCATGTGAAGCTCACGTGATGTCAGGAAAACTGTGTGATGATTTATTATGTGTTTAATTCAACTTTAGCAGCAAATGTCATAACTGTATTTGAATTTGGCGTCAAGGGTTATATTCTCGAACTGCTTAAACCTTTACCTAGCCAAATTTCATTCAATTATTTCCTGGTATATTTAAAATACGCCGTTGGGGAAAGACGCTTTGTGTCTTTTACATCTGACTGCCTTGGGGCAAACCAATTTGATACAATGTGTTATATATGTGCCATTTTATTGACTCTACGCAGACTGCTTCTTTATAGATAGTAAATTGACACGATTGTAAGTTTTGCAGGCTTTGCAATATGAGCTATTTTTTTGAATTTTCCTGGCTACATTGTCGATGAAGAAGGGGAATCAATCAGGCATGGCTTTCGACGAAATTCACGGTTGACCTATGTTCCATTTCCCACTGTGAATTTTACTTTATAAAGATGAAAATCTCTCGAATATTTGTAGATATTTAAAATCAAGTTAGGATGAAAGTTTACTAGTGGTGTATTACAAGTCTCTGCTGAATGTTCTTTTAAATGCTGGTAGGATTGTGTAAGTCAAAAATACACTTTGCCATATTTCCAAGTTGAAGCTATTTTATCAACGATTATCCTAAACTTATTGCAATTGTATTGATGACAAGTGCAGTTATAATTAGTCACTACGGTATTATCCATAGCGAAATATTTCTACACTTGAGAATATATTAGGTATCATCATAATTACATGTCACGTGAGTAATTAGGACGTATATTTGCGCCTCTGGCCATTTTAAATTTTCCGATTGTTAATTTCCTTTACAAAGATAATCCAATCAAGCGGTATGTCGGGATATATCAAAATCGTCACGTGATAGGAATTATTATTGAGAAATCAAACCTTTAAGAAACCGCTGGTCAGAAATTAAAACATCAAGAGGCACGCGAAGCAACGTTAGGATGAGCTGTTGGGCAAAAACAGATGTGAAATGTAGATTAAACGGTTTTCTCATATAGCAAAATTTTCAGAATTGGCCAACTTGACGGTGCTTTGTACTTTACCAGTAACTTTCCATCGCAAGGTATAAGTTAGGTGTTGATAACTTCTATTCATAATATATATATATAAGTTTTAGTCGTCAAATTATATAAATTTTCCTAGAATGATTACGCCAGAATTGAAACTTTTTAAATATGCCAAATTGTCGACGGTCTATTAGACACAGTGCATTTTATGTGTTATTGTAGAATGAAGTTTGAGAACTAATTCGGAGGCCTGCAACTATCTCGCATTGTATCAAACGCACGCAGCTAATATCATACGTATTTTAAGCATGCGTCGTCAGAAGCCATCATTACGTCAGACGTATTGATTACATTTTTGTAATCCAAACTTGGTTTTTATGAACGAATTATATTATATTTTGGCCTTGCCATGCAATGATCTGATTTTGTGTCATTTCTCATGCGATTTAAAGCTATGTTCAATGTACTTTATATTCATTTCACACTTTCAACCAAATAGTATGAGGATGTGTCGTAATAGTGTAATATAAATTAATATACAACTTTGACATCAGATAAATTGTAGGAGAAATAGTAAACTATGCGGCTCACGTCTACCGATCAATTTTGTTTTTGGAATGATTTCTATAAAAACAGTGTCAAATTTTGTTGGAAAAGGTTGAGATTGTGAATGAAAGTAAAAGAATTAATTTCGGATATTAACAGCACATAATCGATGATGAAGTTTAGCAAATATTATTTTCTATATCTAAATATGGAAACTGGCTTCTATATGTAATTTAAATTTATATTTGAAGAACATATGACTGAATTGCCCGCGGCAACCGTATCCAACGAACAATACAAAATTGTATATAAACAATTATATAAAACTTTGACATCAGATAAATTGTAGGGAAAATAGTAAATTATGCGGCTCACGTCTATCGATCAATTCTGTTTTTGGAATGATTTCTATAAAAACAGTGTCAAATTTTGTTGGAAAAGGGTTAGATTTGTGAATGAAAGTAAAAGAATTAATTTTGGATATTAACAGCACATAATCGATGATGAAGTTTAGCAAATATTATTTTCTATATCTAAATATGCAAATTGGCTTTTATACGTAATTTAAATTTGAATAACATATGACTGAATCGCCCGCGGCTAACGGATCAATCGAACATGGATAATTCCTTAGTTCCGGAGACCTGAATCGCTTCCATGTAAGTTTTAAGTGAATACTCAGTTTTTAATACGAATTCTATTTGACAATGCCAATAGCGTCAGAGGGCTCAGAAGCGCTGTGACATTCGTCCACTACCGGAAGAATTTTTACCGAATGAATAACCTATTTTATAAGAGTATTTAGATTAAAGAATGGCCAACGTCGCAATACCGTTTTAGGGTTGGAATAGAAGCAAAGGGTCAATGGCGTCGCGTGACAGTATGACGTTCATCAGACAAGCACAATTTTTATCTGCTTTCAAAATTGCTCATATTTTAAAAAACAAACTCTATTTTATGAATGTTCAGGGTCTTTAATATAACTCATAGTCAAAATTTAGTGTAACAAATCGATTGTATAAGGCTATGGCTGGAACAGTTGTAGAACATAATATGCATAATATGACCGCGACCATAATGAATACTACTATGAACATGATCATGAATAACATGACAATGCCTTCCGGTGGAAATATGGGACATCACATGCACGGTATGAATGGAACCATGGCGCCAATGTCGAACAGTACGGAGACGATGGGCCACGGTCACCATATGCATGACGCAGATACCAGTATGACCATGGATCCAAACCCCATGGGGCATAACGGGCATATGCATGGTACACAAAATCCTGGAATGACTGGTGGAATGGGCCACGAAGGTCATAGCATGCACGATACTGCTGGTGGTCATCACGGAGGTTCAGGCGGAGTGAGTATACACCTTTAACAGTTTCAATAACTATATTATGATCGATAATGCCTATACGATTTTGTATTTCAAGTAAGACTTTTTCTTATTTTTTTCTTCAGAGTTGTTTTATTGATGTACATATGTACGATATCACTCAAGTTTCTGACTGTTCTAGATCGGAATAATTTGTATTTCCAGGTATATTTCGACTTCCCTCTCCCTCTTCACATCTTGTTTTACGGCTGGGAAGTTACAACACAAGGTGAGCTTGCTGGAGCGTGTGTCGCTGTACTCGTGTTGTCAATAGTGTATGAAGGACTGAAAAGCCTGCGTGAGAATCTCTTATGTAAAGTTGTAAGTATTGGAAAACGTTCGCCCTCTCTAGGAAGTAGTGTTTACTGTTATTTTTCGTCTAGTCATTTCACACAACATTCTTGCTTGCCACAATGCGGGTGGAAAGTACGTTAAAGGCTGAAAAATAAAAACATATATATCCTGTAGCTAAAGTAATTCATGAATTATTATTCATGCATATTTTGATACGATATATTCATAAATTATGTTTGATTTGAAGAAATCCCGACCAAGGCAATTTCGGATATCCTCTTACCAGTCTCAAAACAACCAAGATCAATATGAAATGAGCGTGAGTTAGGTAGAAAACATAAATTAGATCCCTGTTCGATTCATGTAGTTGATTTCTATTACAATAAATCGCAATACCACGAGTAGTTTAATATTAAGCGTATCTGTTGCGTTATGGTAGAAATTATGATACAATTTTATCGTTTTAAAAATTGTATATATCAATGTCATTATTATCCATTGCCAGATTATCTATTGAGGTATGTATGAGTTTTTTATTATTCTATGAATAGGCTAAAATAATGTAGTTGTTAGTGGTAACAAAGATTTATCGACCAGATTCCAAGTTTACAATAGCGACAATAATATACGGTCCAACACGCTGGCGAAGGGCAATTGAGGAAGAACTCCTTTATAAATTATAAATTAACAAATTTAATTTTACTACGAACAAAGTTAATGTATTTTTATACGAATGTTTTTAACTTAAAGTATTTTATACCAACTACATACAAAGTTTTGATTCAAATGAAGTCAAGATTTAGGTTTTCAAAGTATTTCACGAAATGGGAGTATGGTGAGCGCGCAAGTTAACATAAAATGTCTGTTTTCTCAATGCGCAAAATTAATTTCATGTTTATAACTTTTAATTAGGCAAAAAACGAAAGAAGACATTTGCTCAAGTCTGCTGTAAATGAACTATCAGAAGGCACAAAAATAAAGAGCCCAGAAAGAACTTGTGTGTAAGTGATATTGACAAATAGTAATCAAAACTATTCCTACATACTCATACGTATTTGTATTTAGAAGATCCAATGTTGGTATGTAATATACTACATACAAATATGTATAAGTCAATATGAACAATTTAACAGCTATACTAATCCGCAAGCTGACCAGGTAATGTTTAGGGGCTAATGTTGTGCGACAAAATTTAATTTGTATATATGGCGCGTGGTCATTTTGACAACCGGGGCAAGCTACTGCGGGACCAAGTCACCCCCATCTACGGGGACAGGATGAGCGCTGTAAGTTCTCCCATCATTTTATGAGTATAAAAACCATTCCATCGGTAACAACCAATCGGCAAAAGCGACATTTTTTAACGATAAGAAAGTGTCTTTAGAAACGGCCCAAGTCAAGGGATTAATAAATATAGTCATAGTTGATGTTGAAACCTCTTTCAAGAGGAAAGGCAATATTTACCCAGATAAATACAATGACATATTAACAGAAACTTCGGGAAAGCGGACAAAACCTAAAATAAGGTTTAAAACGTTACTATGAAGAAAGGAAAGTTAATGCAAAGATAAGGACATGCGTCGCTCATTCATAGATATATATGCTGCTAGACTTCTAATGCTTGAAGATATATGCAACACGCCGCGGTTTCTTGGAAGCAAAATGCTCAATAACGCGCTGATTAAAGTCATGCATCCCAGAAATAACGTCTCTGTGAATGAATAAAACAGCCAAGGAATTTAATCTATCTTGCTTCATTGTGTTTCTGAGATACGTTTTAATACGCTTCAGCGTGCTGAATGTTCGCTCTGCGTCGGCGGAAGAAATAGGCGTCGTCAAAATGATGTCCAGCAATTTTGCAGACGCCGCAAAGGTAGTTACTAGAGTGTTATCTATGAGGAACCCATAGAGCGCGCAAGTTGATGTGATGTTCAAAAAAGTTTGATTGGTGTATATACATCGCAATTCATTTTCCAATTTACCCGCGTTTATCATGGGGTAAAATTTGGAGACAGTAGCCAACAAATGGATGGGAAATTGACGTGCAAATTTTGAAATTTTTTTTGGGTTCATCAAAGAGAACGTGGCAAGGTGTTCAGTGCGCAGACGATCGCCTATTTGATTCACCAGAATGTCACAGCATTCCTTTGCAGACAAAATCAAACGCTGCGTTGTTTGCCCGCGGCGTAAAGAAGCACTCCATGTGTCGTCGTATTTTATTGTTTCCCGGATACGAGATACAGCATCGCAGAAGTCTGAAATACACGACTGCACAGACGCTCCATCCATTAGCCTTGACTGCAATGCGCCGTATAATACATCCACGTGATAGAATATTGTGGAGAAAAAAGCGAGAAAAAATGAAAACTCACCATCTTCTAGCAGACGCTTTAAACCTGCCGCCTCCCTCACAGAGCGTTCGTCCCAAACCGGAGAGCTCTGAATGCCATTGAAACACTCATTGAGCTCAGACCTAATTTCGGACACGCCCTGCACCACGCGTGATTGCAAGTTCCAACGTGTTGGTGCACAAGCTGGGAGACGGCGGCTACATATCTGGCGAGGGAGGTCAGAGCGCTTCGGCGAAACGGAAAAAAATGAAGGGGATATCAAGACACATATTTTTAATAACGAGGTTGAATTGGTGTGCATAACAATGTAAAAAATGCGCATGAGGAAAATCTTCTTTTATATAAACTTGAACACCATGTTTCGACCCACTCATGACTGCCGCACCGTCATAACTTTGAGCTATCAATTTTGACTTCGCGTTGTAATGCTGTAACACTTCTTTCAGTACAGCCAATATCCCGCAAGCCGTGTGATCAACGATTGGTACAAAGCTGTGAAATCTCTCGGTAGGTTTACCATCTTTCACAAACCGAAAAATCACAGCCAGTTGGGAAACGAACGTGATGTCAGTTGTCTCGTCAGACTGAATCGAAAGGAACTGGCAATTCTCAATTTCCAGAGCCAAATGTTGTAAATAAATTTTATACATTGAGTCGAGCAAATCATTTTGGATATCCTCAGATGTCCCTTTCGAAACAGTTGCGGCATCAAGATGATCTCTCTGTATCTAGGGATGCGGTGTATTCCATCATATCCAAAAATACCCCTCTATTAGAAGTGCCAGCCCGTTCATCGTGCCCACGGAGGGACAGCTCGTGACAACCAATGAACTTCAAAACATCTATCAATCGACCGAGAACATGGCGGTTTTTCTCGACGTTTTGGTTGTGCCGACGAATAGAAACCGCGCGTCCTTCATCCAACTGTGCTGCAATATTAACATTTCCGAATGTTCGGTATTTTACTGCATTGTCCAGATGCTCCATAGAAGATTGATGATCCCTGGCACGCTCGGAAAGATGTTAAAGATCTCTAAAACCAAATTTACACCAACGTGAGTCACGGGCGGTGGCAAAAAGTAGGCAATAAAAACAAAAAAGAGCATTTTTGTTCTCGCTGTAACACAACCATTCGTGTTTTTTATACCAAGTTTCTGCGCAGAATGTACGCCGACGCTTTCCTCCGTCATGGGATTGTTCCAGTGAACAATTTTTTGGTTGATAAGGCCCAAGACGAAGGCTTTGCGAGCGAAAAATGAACCATGTCGGGAGAATATGGCTAGTGTAGACAGTCTGTGCAACCGATATTGAGGTATTTTTCGAATAGTTTTTATTATACCGAAAAAACAACCGGGGCATTGCCCCGGTTGGCCCTATTGACGCGCCGCCACTGATATATACCATAATCAAAAATGAGTTTTGGAAATTCACCCAAAACATTTTTATTATATCCAATTGTCACTATCATTTAAATCTTGTCGAATATTATCAAAACTTTTAACATTCCCATAAGAAATCAAACTATAAATATAACTAAATTTTATTCGATTTGATCGCTTGCCTCATTGTAAGAAAGGTGGACATGCCTGTCTCTTGTGCGATGAATGGCGCCATGACGACAGAATAGCGCTGTCAGGCACTATAGAAGTTTTAAAATTCCATCGATTTTTTTCAGGCAAAAGATATTCAACTGGTGGCATATCCTGTTCAGCTTCATGCAAGTTATTCAGACAACACTAGGAATGTTTCTCATGTTAATTTATATGACATTTAACGTTTGGCTGGCGGTTTCAGTATCCCTGGGATCAGGGCTTGGATATTTCCTATTTGCTTGGAATAAGCGTCATGTTAGTGAGTTTGACGATCACTGTGGGTAATTTACCCAATCATGCTCCAAAATTGTAAAATTAAAATCGTTATATATATTATATACTTACCAAAGGTGGCTCTTTCTAACGCAATTATTTCTGTGAAATAAATTATTATTAATTGATAAATGTGTGTCAAATGAAGAAGTGTAGTATTCAAGTTTAAATGAAGTTTAAAAAATTTTTGTTCGAGCAATTCTGTTGAAAATGTAAAAAGTACAAAATGTATGTTGCATGCAAGATGAATATTTTGTATCTTAATTCAGAAAAAAAATCTTTTAAATATTACAATTAGAAATATAAACAAGAAACAATAAATATGCACTGAGAGAAAATTTGACTGTCAATCCAAAATTAGGTCTTATATTGATTTGTGATATTCGTAAAAAATATTTAAATCATATGTTTGGCTTTAATCAACGACTAACATACCGGCTTTAATGGACCTTTTCCCGACCTTTGACCCCCGAAAAATTCTTTTTATACTTTACCATTGCAAAATTTTCGAGGGTTAATTTAAGAGTGGCTTGCGAGTTGGCGCCTGTAAAATGGGGTATGTGTTTCAAACCATTATTATGATTCATCGCATATAACAATATGATTTTCAAAAGGACCGGTAAATAATTTTAGCCTAGTCTATCACAGCTATTTCTTTTTTATTACTGCAATTAAATTGAAACTCCCAAGAAGACAGAGTGATCATTGAATTACCCGATTTATATTTAAATTTCCGAAACACAACTGAAAACTAACGAATAGAGTTCAAAAACGCGATAACGAGGTAATGTTTACGACCACGCCTGAAAATCTGTCTGAGTGGGAAAAGTGTCTGAGCGGATGCGAAAAGGTAGCATTGTTACATAACTTTTTGAATCTTGCTGATTGGCCAATGTCATGAAGTAAACAAGAAAGTCGATGCTCGAGAAAAGGTCCATTAAAGCGAGGGGCGTTGAATTTTGTTACGGTCAATGTCGATTTTGAGAAAGTTTTTTTACGTAGTTTTCTAAAAAAATGCACAGTCTAGGTAATTTGATTAGCGTTTTCGAGAAATGGGTTGGTCATCGGATCTTGGATGTTGAAGTAGGATTGAAAGAGATAGGGGGCGATATCGCATTCTCAAAACACCAGAATGTTACCGGTACTGCAACGGTTTGCAGCAGTGTGTTTAAATGATTGACAGGCGAGATTGCATGACGTCATAGTTAGGATGTTTCGTTTAGTTAGAATTAGAATGTTCTGGAAAATATGTTATTAGGTTGGAAAACATGAGGTTAGGATATGTACCGTACTGATATTGAGTTCAGTTGCATATTGTTTCAAGTGCAGTTTTAAGTATCCTGTTGCGTCTGCAGCTGCCGCAAAACCATGGCCGCTACGGCCAAACCTATGGCGACTGACTTTTTAGCTGCCACAAAAGTCATTGCACAAACCAATGACGAGCTGCCGTTACTGCGGCAGCAAATTGAAAACCAATGGCAGGTAAAAATTTGGGTAAGTTGGAACGTTTTTCTTATGGATACAGTTTGATGGATTTGGGGTTAGGGTTTAAGTAGATATAATTCCGCATGATCAATTAAAATCTGGTACACTAATTTGTGAATATACCGTTAATACTGATTGCAGAATACTGAATAGCGCTATAAAACCATGGCAAATCGTGGCAGGAGCTGCCATGAAGTGGTACGAACCGTGCCTCTATTGTTTTGACAAAAAGGGAATTAATTGTTATGTTCTTGTTTACACAGTTTGTCAGAGAAGCACCGAATTCAATGTCAGTTACCGTAGTTTCAACATTGTAATTACTGATTAGCATAACTGAAACACAATATTTCACGTTTGATAACATTACTGCATTATTTCTAGACTTTGTCCTATGGAAGCTGGATTTCCATGCTATTAAAATATTGAAACACGAGTCAAACTGCATTGAATTGTTATTCATCAGTCTGCTAGCTTTCCATCAACAGACTAAGGAAAGCATTGAATGCCTGCAGCCACACAGAAAATCAGATTGAACTTGCAAAGGGAAAGTATGATATATTCTGCAACAAGTAATTTGGCAAATACTTACTCGTTTTCGTGGAAATGAATGATTGATTATTTCATTACCAACATCATATTTGGTAGAAAAGGATATTTATTCTTGACGTTATAACTGTCACACCGGGAATTGAAGTTTGGCGTCCCGTGTTCCGGGCTTGGCTGCGGTTGTCCCAGAATTTACTGACAACCAAGGCGTTCTAAAATAAAAGGCCATGTAAGTGTGTCGGCTTCGTTCAAAACTGGAAACGGATGTAATTCACGCGAATATTACAAAAAACGGTTACCTCTGTGTGGGTCATTTAAATAGAAGCGAGTTGAAACTTTGTTAAGACATGTTTTGTCAACCGTGTCTTCCTGATGACATAACAATCAAATAAACTCCGATCGCAAAATGGATGATGAAATAATATACAGTAGATCATTCAACTTGGTATATTAATTGAAAAAAAGCAGGTAGTTTTTGAAACGGTTCTGTAGATGTAAAAGGCGAGTAAAGAAAGAAGGTGAAGATTAGATTGATTAGTTTGTATAACCTCAAATGATGCCCCAAAGATTCAACATTTCACAAGTTTCTTTGATTATAATCGCTGCACGATCATCAGTCTTTGACAGGCAGTGTGCTTTTGATGTCTTTCGTGTTTCACAAGCTACTGTTGCATCAATTTTAAATTCTAGACAACAAGATGCCCCGTAAGGGTTTATCACCAAGTTGGGAACCTAATCAGCAGACATGATGATTTAAACCAGGGGTCGGCAACCTTTTGTCGCTCGCGGGCCAAAATCAAGGTTGCAAGTCTTTGGCGGGCCGCACAAATTTTTAGAACGTTGAAAACTGAACGGATGATACTTGTTACAATAAAAACCAAGCAGTGATACATCTCTCGAATAGAATATAGCTTCATTTCCTCATTGCCCTGCATCTCAAAAAATTCCATTTGAATACTTTCGGCGTCATTAAATCCTTTGCACTCAGCATCAACTTTTCTGCGTTTTGTTGCCATTTGTCTAATTATAATTAAACTATAGGCTCATTAAACGAGTAGTTGTATATTATATATTTGTTAGAATTTAATTTAGTCTACACGTGCCACACAATAAATTCTGTTGAGTAAAGAATATAATCGTCAAAACAGCTGTTTTGTTACTATAATTTGGTGAAGCGTCGCGGGCCGGATTAGATTACTCTGCGGGCCAGATCCGGCCCGCGGGCCGTAGGTTGCCGACCCCTGATTTAAACCTTGCTAAAATGTCTTCAAATTATAAAAAAAAAAAATAGTTGGAGATTTTAGGCTCATTTGTAGTCTATTTGTTTAACTGTGTTTGTGACAAATCTAAGGCTAACTAACGTTTTTTCCCCCGAAGAATCGGGGGCGATGATAGACAGAGAGAGCTGTAAGGGGGCGCTGGTGCATAAAATGTAAGGATCACTGTTATATACGACAGAACCGCAGCCTCACTCCCTGGGGTGGGCCTAATGAATGCCGTAGAGACGCCCCGGGGCGCGTTGCAGGGGGCAGCAGATAGGCAGTTTGATCTTATACATACTGTTTTTGTTGCTCAGTTTGTCAAATGGCGTATGTGTACGATTTTATCGATAATACAAACATATAACTCCTACTTACCTTTTTTTATTCGCTCTCATGTATAACCACATCTATAATTTGTTTTTCCCCGAAATTATTTTTGAAGTTAGATAAGGGGGGCATCATTGCAGTATAAAAACCCGCCGCGGGCAGCAGAAAAGTTTGGCATATGGCATGTCCCATTTTACTACCGGTTATCATCCCAGGCAGCGTGTGGGAGAAATAGTGAACCAGTAAAATATTCCTTATGCTCGGACTTGGATGATGCTGGGAGTCGTCGTACAAATCCTGCGCGCAAATCAGCAGTTTTGTTGTACAATGTACATAATTATTCTCCACGTGAACCCAAGCCGACTAATCAGATTCTGCGGTGGCTCGTTCCTAACCTCTAACTTTTAATATCAACCTCCGAGCATTATTTTCTGTGATTTTATCTCTCTTTCTCTCTATATAAATACGTTTTTAACGTGATCTAAATCTAGTTTTATTATAGTTCGGTAACCGCGGATGCAAAGGGTGAGCATACGCATGTGCCATTACGAATGGTTTGATTTGTTAACCACAAAACGTGTGTAAATTGACGCTTGTTTTGGTTGGAGCAATGAGGATATATGAATGTATAAATCCTCATTGTCTGAAGAGAAAACTGCTCGCAGTCAGTGCTGCGTGTATATTTGATAATAATCCTGTAATTTCGAGGGGGGGCGATCAACTTGGGGATATGTGAGAAACACAGTTTTTAAAAACCGACAACATATCCTATCGTAAATAATAAGTTCCAATAAAGGTTATCTGTACGAGCTGTCACTCATATACTATGTTGATTTCGGTCAGACACTATAACATTTTTTATTGGCGAGGTGCATACCCACGTATTCGCTGATACTGTACTTACTTCATTGCAGTGTTGAATTTTGAGTCGTTTTTCAAACTACGTCGGAATAAGCTTTGGTGCTCTGTTGCGCTACTCTGTGCCTCGGGCGAAGTAAGCAAGTGTTTGGAATCGTTTCAGGATGTAATTGTAATTCTTCTGTTATTTGAGTACAGAGATAGGATATGTCTGGAAGAAATCTGACTTTGTTCTTCCAAAATCAGAAAGAATATTTTAGCACCTGTTACTACGTTTGCTGTGTAGAAAGAAAGCATGGTCAACCCAGTGAAAGCGTCTATTGCGATTGCTACGCTTGTGTCAACGATTACATTAATAGGTTTCATTAGATATCGCTATATAGCTTCTAGAGTGAAACTCCCGACTGAAAACGAATATAAGCCAAGGTTTGTTGTTCCTTATTTTCACACTATTGCCAGTATCCTTTGGTATTTGATATGTATGGGCCAAGTTCTGAAGTTACTACGGTCTGACGGTTCTAAACTACGGTAATTTATGATTTTTGTACAATCTCAACCATCTTTTTGATCATTTTCATTTGTACTTGAACATGCTTATTCAAAACTGTAATAAGAGGTGTCTATCCTTTTATAAATGATAAAATATTCTATATATAGATGCAGGGTATTCCTTGGAGCTAGATTACGTAATTTCTTTATATTGAATATAATTTGTTAATATATGTTGTTGTATTGTCAACTGATATTTTTTTATTTCAGGAAAATAGATTGGGAATATTTCAAATCCTTGCCAAATCGATTTGCTGCAAGCTACTATCCGCAGAAACAAACACACAAAAATGCTATAATTGAACCAATCCTGAAAAATGAGGTTTGTTATCCGGATGGTTGTTAAGTCATATAATGTAATTATCTATACTTTGTCCTATAAACTTGTCCAACGCATGGAAATTGTTTTGGAAACTGCAGCTGCTTAAAATTATAGCAATTTTATTTATTTTCAGTTTTTCTATTCATTCAATTATCAAATAGAAATATTATATAATGCTTTGATTTTGTTTTCAGGCTGATGGGAAATTCAATGTGACATTTATAATATACTCAACTCCTGAAAATTCTGCTCGACGTCAGTTGGTGAGAAATACTTGGGGATCGATCAAAAATTTCAATGGAGTTAATCTTTTTCGAATCTTTGTTGTTGGCATAACAGAAGATTCAAATGTTGAGGTATGAGCCTTTACAGGTTTGAATCATTAATATTCTCAATTCAATGTTATATACTTTGACAGAACATGCCTCGATTTAAACGAGGGGATTTGACAATACAAGTAATAGTTTGAAAAATGAGTTCTAATTTCTGATTTACAACTCAGTAATAGTTAAGGTCCTATTCATCTCATATATTCAATGTTATGCAAATTATTAATGTAGGTAATGCAATTATGTATATCATCAATAGAGTAAGCTATGCAAACTTTAGTACCATTATGGTGCTGGTGGCGCTTTATTCTGAATAAATATATGACTAAATATATAATGGAAAAATATTATTTATTAATCATTCGTGTCTGTCTATTTGATTATTTTTACAAGTTTAATGAAAGACAATATTTTCTCCTTTAGATTGGTCTGAAATCTGAAGCTGAAAATTTTGAGGATATCCTGCAAGTTAATGTATCAGATAGATTTTTGACATCACCGAAAAAATCTTTATCTGCTTTCTATTGGATTAGAAACTCTCTGCAGGCTCATACAACATTCTATATAACTACTTTGGACAACTGTGTTGTGAATATTAATACGGTGGTGAAGTTTTTATTAGAACACCAGGATGAAACTACAGAATCTGTGCATTGTGGGTATATGTTTGAAAAAGACACAGCTGTGATTCGAGGTAGTGGCTTCAGGAGTATTTCCAAAGAGTTGTATCCGAAAAAAACGTATCCACCATTCTGTAGACAGAATTTAGTAATCTTAAGTTTTCCATTTGTAAAAATGATTCACGAGGTATCATTATCTACTAATATTTCAGGGTTTAATCTTGAAGATGTCCTACTTTTTGGAATTTTACGTGAAAAATTAGGAAAAGAAAACAGCATAAAAAATATTAAAAATGGTGGAAAACCACTCGTTTATTATCCATGGGATGAAACTGATAAAGTTTTGCTTAAAATGAAAATAAAATGGAAAGATTGGAAAAGGGAATTGTTTAGAGCAGTTTCATCAAGCCTGATACCCAAATGAGATGCAATATACAAAAATTTATCTATATTTCAATGCACTTGTCAACTATTCAATCTTGGGAATGGTCTTTGGCACTTTCTTAATCCATAAATTGCACTTATATTGCAAGGAAGTCAAAATTAAAATATAATAGTTTTATTGTTAAATTGCACTTATGCTGAGAACAAGACAAATTTTCACACCTCAGCTGCCTCAGACGTTCATGAAATAAGAGAGCATTCCTTCAATATATGAACACGAAGGCCAAAACAAAGTAGTACGGTATGAACAAATCGGTAGTCGAACACTAATCCTGACCGAATTATGTTAAACGACCAAATAAGTGATACACCTTGTAGAAATGATTTGTTTGTGTCTTACACACTTGTATGACAAAGCAGTTAGAAGAATTAAAAAATTCTGTAATATGCAATAAAGTCCAGTCCAACAAATTTGCATTTGGTGACTGTGAATAAATGCTGCTACTTGTTAGCATCTAAAAGACTGTAGAATTTGAAATAACAGTTTTGATTTACTTCTGTAGTAAGGTGTTAATACGAATCCTGCCAAATTATATCAACATTGTGAATACATAGCTTCTTATCATAAACAGCAATTACATACGGTACATTTAATCTATGTATTATTCATGTGCAACCTTACTTCGAAAATTTGTGGTACAGCATTGTTTTGATGTGCAATACATCCCTCAAGAAGCTCTCGTACTTTAATTTACGCAATCTTAAGCAGCCTGAATTATTAATAGTAAGAGAATAACTGTATTTCAAAAGACAGATCAGTATTTTTATTTTCAGGTAACAAACTCGATATGTATTCATTCTGAAATCAACGAATATTTTTATATGTAAAACTGTTAAATAAATAAAAAATAAATATGTTAAGAGTCCGTCATCTCACAATAACAATAACCAAAAAATTGGACAAATTTTTGTCTATTACCACATTTAAATTGAGTCGATAAAAATTAATATTTAGACTCTTGGAATCATGAACACTATCAGTTTGTTCCAACATGGCACAAAGTTTTGAATTTTACATGTCTTCACTTTTATTGATTTATTACGTTTAATAGCTATAACCTGATTTAGATATTTGTGATAAGATAGTATTGCAGTAGACCACAGTACTAATTGAAAATTTATATTATAGTACTTGTATATTTTCCAATCATATATTGTATTTATCATGCTATTTTTCAATTGTTTGATAGAGAAGCATAAATACTTTGGTGGTTTCAGTTATGGTCATTTAGCAGTCAGTGGAAGTTTTTAAAACTTCGTAAAATTTTGATTGTTCAAGAATGGATCATCACACTTTAAAAGGGCAGCCTTGTTCCAACTTCGTAGCATATAAAAAGGAAATTTTGAGCTTTGAAATTTCTCATAATGATTTAGAACAAGTACTTTTTACCTATTTTCTGCTATATGCTTTTTATATTGCTCCTAATGGATCAAATCTATATTTTTACCTACTGATTTATAATTGATTTTCAACACAACACAATTTTGTATAGAAGCATTCAAAATGTTTAATATTGCATAAATAGTTTTTGAGTTGAAAATATCGCTGTCTAGTTTTGTCAAGAATGTGTGTTATTGTGTGGCTTTGCTATAGACACTTTTTGTATTGTTATGTCAGCTTAATCAAATATTTGATACTCTTATATTTATTTATATAGGTTCGTATTTGCTCAACAGGTTTTTTCCATTTTTAAAAATTGTGTTTAATCAAACCATTGTGTTTGAGATATCTGTGCTTGGCTCAAACAGTCAATTTTGTAGGTTGATATTGTTGAAGGTACTAAACCCGGATCAAAACGCACATACAATACACATTCAAAAAACAACTTCAAACACACAAGCTTTATCATATTTTATTTAAATTTGAAAAATGGTACCCACATCTGAAATTTTATGTTCTATCTAGTAGTGTGGTAATTTTCTCATTGTTTCCTTTTGGATGCCAGCTGTGCAGATATTATTTATTCAACATCACATTGTGAATTTTCTATAAATTTAAATTCCTAAATGATTCTAAAAAATGTATCAAAAATTAATAATTTAATCTTGGTACATATCTTTATACATGACATTTTTATTGTACTATTAAATTTAAAATGATATTGTTTTTCATTGAATGCAGTGCGATGTGTGGTATATATTGAATATGCTCTATTTAAACCATGTTTTCTATGGTCTTACATAAATATTTGCTGCCAAAGTTTCTTGAAAGTCAACTTTATTGCATTTATATTATCTAGTACAGGATGAACATTTATTCTACTAATATCCGTTCTATGGATGATACTTTCTTTACACTCATTTCTAAGCGAAATAAAATTGAACTTGATTGTTGAAAGTCACAGATTTGTGTCACCATGACTTGAATATGGTTCTTGATATGTTCATATCCGTTTAGTTCAGTTTATTAAATAATTTTCTGTGAAGACAGGAAGCCATTCGAAAACCGACTCTCGTTTGACAGAAATTCCATGCGGGTAAGAATTCTAGAAACTGGGTGATGGCAACGTTTATTAAAACTTGCGATGTTTGCAAAACCGTACCCTTTTCGTTTTAATATATAGATGCCATGTATTAAAAGTATATTCCGAGATGGTCGGTTAATCAAGTCTCGTACCAAAATGAGATGCAATATACAAAAATTTATCTATATTTCAATGCATTTATCAACTATTCAATCTTGAGAATGGTATTTGGCACTTTCTTAATCTATAAATTGCACTTATAGTGCAAGGAAGTCAAAATTAAAATATAATAGTTTTATTCTTAACTTACGCTTATGCTGAGAACAAGTCAAATTTACACACGCCGGCTGCCTCGTGACCTTCATGAAATGAGAGAGCATTCCTTCAATATATGGACGCGAAGGCCAAAACAAAGTAGTACGGTATGAACAAATCGGTAGTCGAACACTGATCCTGACCGAATTATGTTAAACGACCAAATAAATGACCCACCTTGTATAAATGATTTGTTTGTGTCTTACACACTTGTATGACAAAGCAGTTAAAGGAATTAAAAAATTCTGTGATATGCAATAAAGTCCAGTCCAACAAATTTGCATTTGGTGACTGTGAATGAATGCTGCTACTTGTTAGCATCTAAAAGACCGATTGTAGAATTTGAAATAACAATTTTGATTTACTTCTTTCGTAAGGTATTAATACAAATCCTGCCAAATTATATCAACATTGTGAATATATAGCTTCTTATCATAAACAGCAATTACATACCGTACATTTTATCTATGCATTATTCATGTGCAACCTTGCTTCGAAAATTTGTGGTACAGCATTGTTTTGATGTGCAATACATCCCTCAAAAAGCTTTCGTACTCTAATTTACGCAATCTTAAGCAGCCTGAATTATTAATAGTTTAGCCAATAAAGAACACGTTGAACGTTTTCGAAGAATTTCGAAATAAGCAATTTTCAGTCTTTTTATAAATTTTACTTGAAATAACGAATTTATCCCTAAAATAGTAAGAGAATAACTGTATTTCAAAAGACAGATCAGTATTTTTATTTTCAGGTAACAAACTCGATATGTCTTTATTCTGAAATTAACGAATATTTTTAATTTTTTATATATATGTAGAATTTCGTAGGATAAATATGTTAAGACTCCGTCATCTCACAATAACCAAAAAATTGGACACATTTTTGTCTATTACCACATTTAAATTGAGTCGATAAAAATTAATATTTAGACTCTTGGAATCGTGAACATTATTAGTTTGTTCCAACATGGCACAAAGTTTTGAATTTTACGTGTTTTCACTTTTATTGGACACGTAGTGGACATAACGATCGTTTCAAAATTTTGTTGTCATTGTTATTATTTGTCTCCGTCAACATGCACGTTTTGAAGAAATAGCTTTTCTTTTCGAATACTGGACCAATTGCTTTTCAGTGGTTAAAGATAAAAAAATTCGGATCAAAACATTCATACAACATACCTTGGATACTCAACTGGCGGACCGCCGTCCAACCCTTTCAAGTATTTGATTCGGACCGCACCTAATTCTTTATTTTGGATCAATAACTCAATTGAAGTTTCCTTTTATAAAATGACATTTATAGTTTTGATTATATATATGAAAAGAACCATAACAAACAATCTTGATTAGCTAATAATTGTTCGCCGGCCGTGGAAGTGCGCGTTTTAGGATACCGAAATATAATTTCTGGAAAGACCAGACCCAAATAATTTTGAAGTTTTGTATGCGGATCTTCGATAAGAATAGTTGAGTAGCCCTGCATTACACATTCGAAAAACAAATTTATAACACAAATTTCATCAGATTTTATTTATATTTGAAAAATGGTACCCACATATATATATATATAAGCATAATCCTAGATTAAACATCTTTTGAAATTTTATGTTCTATTTAGTAGTGTGATAATTTTCTCATTGTTTCCCTTCAGATGCCATCTCAGCAGATATTATTTATTCCACTTCACATTGTGAATCTTCTATAAATTTGAATAAATGATTCTAAAATGTGTATATCAGAAACTTAACAACTTAATCTTGGTACATATCTTTGTACATGACATTTTTATTGTACTATTGAATTTAAAATGATATTATTTTTTATTGAATACATGTGATATATATTGAACACACTACATTTAAACCAATGCTTGTACATAAATATTTGCTGCCAAAGTTTCTTAAAAGTCAATTATATTGCATTGCGTCTAGTGCAGGATGAACATTTATCCCACCATTCTATCGATGGTACTTCTTTCGTTTTTATGCGAAATAAAATTGAACTTGCTTGTTATCAGTCACAGATATGTCTCCATGACTTCAATATGGTTCTTGATATGGGGATACCAGTTGAGTTCAGTTTTTTAAATAATGTTCTGTGGAAGACTGAATCCATTCGAAAACTGAGTCTCGTTTGCGGGTAGGAATTCTAAAAACTGGGAGATGGAGGTATTCAGATTCAGATAAATTAAAGGGACAACATGATAATAGATCTATGTGAATTAGCGCAAGTTCAAACAAATATGGGGACTTCGACTTATCGAGCAGATGCCAGAATCGATTGTCAGTATTGAAAAATGAATGGATTTCAAATAATCTACAGACCATGTCGACTTGAGAATCGATACTGTAAATCTCCGCTCAATATAGCGCACCACCATAACGGCAAGTTAAATATAAAGTACACTGATCTATCTATTATATACAGGGATTCCATAACGTCCTTATTTCTAAGATTCGTCCTTATTTTTTGCTTCCGTGTCCTTATTTTGTCTTATTTGGACTTCATAAAGAAGGCTTTGTGTTGTTTGTTTTTTCGCCAAAGCTTTATTGTGGCATCATAAAAGCAACACAATCTTATTTGGAACACAAAGAATCAAGGCACAGATAGGCATGAAGCATTGCTAGTGTGGCGATCCTTAGGTTTTGTCGTGGTGTATTTTAGCTATCTGTATTTTAGCCTAAATTTAAAAATGAACTAATGTAAGAACGTTTTTCGTGATGAGTACGGGAAAGAATTCGAAGGTAAACGAAGCTTGAAGGGTGAGTGCTTCGCACGCTGTGACGTCTGTAATTATAACTTTAACCTGACGGCCATAGCAGAGCCAGCTATTTCTGCTCACAATGCAGAAATTTTTCCAGTTGTCCTTATTTTGGGTTCCAGATCGATGGAATCCCTGATTATATACAATCACGCAATAAACAATATATATATATATATTGATTTGTATATTTTATGAATATGTTAGAAACTCTAACATAACAATCATGTGTTTGAACGACCGCGATAAATAGACACGAACTGCTGTTAGTGCGAAACACGACTCTTGAATTAAATAGAATGATAATCTCCATTCTTGCTATATATATTTATCATTATACGCATATGAATCCACTTGCCTGAAGGAATAGAGCAGGAGTGGCCAACTAGTCAAAGACCGAGAGTCGCATTTCGTACTTTATTATCACGAAGAGCCACATTATAAACAAGAACACACATGAACATCAGATATACCTTTATTCAGATCTGCTAAAATGTTAGTTTATTGTAAATGTCACTAACCAACATGATTATGACAGAAATTTACCAGCCATTTATTGTTATGCATGCTACATAGCGGGACCTTTGGGCTCTGGCATTCCTTGGATTAAACAATGCTCTTTAAATATGACTTGTGCAGGGCTGCCACTTTTGCCCGACGAAAAACATCTAAATTGACCTCGAAAAACATCTAGATTGCAATTTTGTATAGGAGCATTTAAAATGTTTAATATTGCCAACATAGTTTTTGAGTTGAAAATATTGCTGTCTAGTTTTGTCAAGAGTGTGTGTTATTGTGTGGTTTTGGTATAGACACTTTTTGTATTGTTATGTTAGCTTAATCAAATATTTGATACTCTTACATTTATTTATATAGGTTTGGTTTTGCCTCATAGCTTTTTCCATGTTTAGAAATTGTGTTTAAATCAAACCATTGCCCATTGTATTTAGAATATCTGAGCTCGGCTCAAACAGTCGATTTTGTAGGATGATATTAATGAATGTATTAAACCTGTATCAAAACACTCATACAACACACCTTGGATACTAAACTGGCGGACCGCTGTCTAACCCTTCCAAGTATTTGATTCGGACCGCACCTAATTCTTTATTTTGGATCAATATCCCCACTTTTGAAGTTTCCTTTTATAAAATGACATTTATAGTTTTGAATATATATATATGAAAAGAACCATAACAAACAATCTTGATTAGCAAATAATCGTTATCCGGCCGTGGAAGTGCGCGTTTTAGGATACCGAAATATAATTTCTGGAAAGACCAGACCCAAATAATTTTGAAGTTTTGTATGCGGATCTTCGATAACAATAGTTGAGTAGCCCTGCATTACACATTCGAAAAACAAATTTATAACACAAATTTCATCAGATTTTATTTATATATATTTGAAAAATGGTACCCATATATATATATATATATAAGCATAATCCTAGATTAAACATCTTTTGAAATTTTATGTTCTATTATTCTATTTAGTAGTGTGATAATTTTCTCATTGTTTCCTTTCAGATGCCATCTCAGCAGATATTATTTATTCCACTTCACATTGTGAATCTTCTATAAATTTGAATAAATGATTCTAAAATGTGTATATCAGAAACTTAACAACTTAATCTTGGTACATATCTTTGTACATGACATTTTTATTGTACTATTGAATTTAAAATGATATTATTTTTTATTGAATGCATGTGATATATATCGAACACACTATATTTAAACCAATGCTTGTACATAAATATTTGCTGCCAAAGTTTCTTAAAAGTCAATTATATTACATTGCGTCTAGTGCAGGATGAACATTTATCCCACCATTCTATCGATGGTACTTCTTTCGTTTTTTATGCGAAATAAAATTGAACTTGATTGTTATCAGTCACAGATATGTGTCTCCATGACTTCATTATGGTTCTTGATATGGGGATACCAGTTGAGTTCAGTTTATTAAATAATGTTCTATGGAAGACTGAATCCATTCGATAACTGACTCTCGTTTGCGGGTAGGAATTCTAGAAACTGGGAGATGGAGGTGTTCAGATTCAGATAAATTAAAGGGACAATATGATAATAGATCTATGTGAATTAGCGCAAGTTCAAACAAATATCGGGACTTCGACTTATCGAGCAGATGCCAGAATCGATTGTCAGTATTGAAAAATGAATGGATTTCAAATAATCTACACACCATGTCGACTTGAGAATCGATACTGTAAATCTCCGCTCAATATAGCGCATCACCATTACGGCAAGTTAAATATAAAGCACACTGATCTATCTACACAAAGAAGCAAAGCACATATAGGCATGAAGCATTGTTATTATGACGATCCTTAGGTTTTGTCGTGGTGTATTTTAGCTATTTGTATTTTACCCTAAATTTAAAAATGAACATTTGCCCGACGAAAAACATTTAGATTGACCTCGAAAAACATCTAGATTGAAAAATAAGACACCTAGAAAATATCTTGAAAGTGATTCAAGAGTCTTGCTGCACACTAACACAAATATATTTCCGTAACGTTTCATCTGACCGAGGTCAGACTTCTTCAGGCATACGTAGTTCAACTATAACAAGAAAATCAGTTAGAAAAGCATTTAACTGCTCTTCTTGTTTCACCTTTTCAACTTACGAAACACAGATGATAAACCGATATTAAACAAAGTCAACCACACATGTCATTTCAATCAGATGGCCCGAATCTCACGTGTTCCTCCTAAAAAGCTAAATTTTTCAAAGGCATTGTACTTTAACTACCGATTTAAGCACCTTGGAACTTGATAGTAAAATAAGGGAATAATTCAAAACAGAACAATGAAACGTGCTTGACACCATAGGATGGCATGGTGAAAGAAGCGTATTTCATGTGACAGACTATAGTATTATTAAAAAAAAATACGAATTTTAAAAGACATAATATTCTACGTCGAGCGAGAAACTTCAGACACCGAAATCACAAGCAAACTAGGTTGAACCAAAACATAAGAGTAAATTAAAATGACAGATAATATCACATCTGCCTGAATTGTTGTCAGCGGCCCCCAATCGCCCAGTTTGACAGCCAGCGCCCTCTCATTGCCCAAATCGCCTTCAGTGCCCCTTCACGGCCGGTTCGCTACGCATGAGTGATGCGTTACTACGTCATCAGTTTGCTATATTTTGAAGCTTACGGAAGAGGATTTCAGTTCGAATTTATTTGCGTATTTAGAGGAGTTTTGTTGGTTGAAATAAATGAAAATATATATTGATGCATTAGGATAAAGTAGGGGGTCGTGGCATCTGAGTACCCGACGTTGGACAATAAAACATTATTTGCAATTAATTTAGATAAAATTTTACCTTTCACTACACCCGGTTTCCGAAAATACGAAGTTATACCGCAAAACAATGCGTTTTGTTACATTTATTTTCCGCTGCCAATAAAATACATATATCTTGGATTTCGAGTAGCTGATAAAATCGTTCTTATCGCCCAAACGCGATACACGCCTGGTCGAGTGTTGGGCGGTAATTTAATCGACGATAAATTAAAATAGTTGGCACACGTGGTATGTATAACGAAGATGACTGGGAATTAAAATTTGGTAACAGAAATCAATTTGTCTCAAGATGTTATTTTATAAGTTTTGCTCGCAGAAGCAATCGATTTCTATCAAGTGCACAAGACATTCAAACAATATATAACGACTTCATATCAGTCCGATAACCTACATCCCCATTAAACATCGGTTACAGCCAGATAGCTGAGGACTACACGCGCCACAAAATCGCGTTGAGAGAATACCATGACGCATCACTCAAGGGTAACGAGAGAACTGTGTAACATAAATGAACAAAGACAAAAACAGCGTGGGGACCATATTAAGTTAACTATGAAAAAACGGTGTTTTCTAATATTTATATGGACGACACAAGACATATTATCTCGTAATAGAAAAGTCAGTGCAGCTTCAATGAGAATAAGAATGTTTCTGTCGCGCATGACAACCGTCAGGACCGGATTTTCAGGTCAATGAAAGTCATCAGCAGGCAATTCTATTTGTTAGGTCTCGTTCAACATTGACGCCATAAAAGTTTTATAAATTTATTATGACGTCATAGTACCAATACATACAAATGTTTTATGACATTATGACGTCATAGTACCAATACATACAGCTGTTTTATGACGTAATGAATAAATTGTGTGTGAAACATGACATTTTATAAATTCATTCATTCGGCTGTTATTTTTAACCTTCTTTAAACGGGAATATTTGGAATGAAAAAATGTGAAATGAAACAAATTAACTTCTTAAAAATTATAAACTGTTGAGTTTTGGAACACGCCATGAAAAATTAAAAACTGATTAAAAATGAAAAATACTTTAAAACCCAAAGCCTTGCCTGTTGGTAAATCCAGCCGTATCGTGTTAGTTTACATCTATTATCATCATGTTTTCACGGGTCTACGATAAGCCAGGTGATTCCATATTGAAGTTGAAAGTCATATATCCCGATCCTGACCATATGAGTTAGTTACAGGAATGGGCAGACACAATGTTTAATCAATTTTTGACAATTATTTGAAGCTTGTACGTTTATTCATCGATATACTTCTTCTTCAATTACAAATAAATAAATAGAAAATCATATAATTGTCTCATAATCTTCCCAAGCAATATGAATGGAATTCCTGACAAAGAGTACGAAATAGATGACGGTCTTTACACAATAGATGACGGTGAGCAGAACAAATTATACACTTATGAAAACACAGATTCTTCATTGCCATGGAAGAGTTTTGAGTTGTATATCTGAGTGCTTAGTTATTCATCTATCGTTACAAGTCTGATTTATATAATGGTCTTTTTTTTTATATATTAGTATATCCATATAATCTTTATATGGACATCGCTAAATGATTAGAATCTTAAATATACTTTTTGATATTCATGATCATTCATTCATTTCTTAACCATTGGCCGACAATTCTCTGTTCTGGCTAATAAAAACTGATTCAAAGTTTAGCCAGTTCGCATATGTTTCATGTATTTTTAAATATATATTTATTAAAAATTCATAGCACTTGGTATGAAGATTTTGAATTTTTTTGATAGAGCTTAATGAATGTAGAACAAATCGTGCTGTCCTAACAAGCATATACATAAAATCAGAATATTCACACTACTTTCATTTCGAATTGATTACATCCAGAATAGTTATAAAATCAGTCCAATTATGCCGATTTTTCGGTTCATTAGTGCGCAAGCGTTGGAAAATTCAAAATTACTCAGTGATTTTCATTTCTTCATGTTATGTAATGATTCGCATAAGCCCGAATGTCAATTCGCGTCATATTCATCTTATTCGCTTCTAAAATATCTCTTCCATAAACATACTGCTCTAAATTTAAAATAAATGCATGCACTGAACTTGTTTTACTGCCATTAATAAATAGTTTATTTATTTAATTTTATTTAGGTATAACTCGATTGTCTCCACCAACGCCCACTCCTCGTTCCTCTTACCAACAAGAACCTCCACCATACAAGTCAACCAACAAAAGACGATTGATAATAGAAATCATTATGGCAGTGATCATAATTGTCCTACTCATTGTACTTTTGGTTATGATGAATGCCGGATCAGAGGTATTTCAAAGTGAATGGCATGATTTATATACAAAATAAAACTGAATAATTACGTTCATAAGCTTAAATTTTTGTTGTTTTCATATATAGTAGGGCGGGGGAAGATAGACACACGGGGTTAGATGGACACTTTTTTTCAAATTGACCTATTGGCGACATCTTATGGGGCTTGGTTCTGCAAATGCCATTGCCGAGTTCGTTGCTAAGGAGGGAATTCGTTCTAGCCATTTCGGTTCAGCGCTTGGCGTAGTTCGTCAGTTGTGTAGCTTTCCACGTGGCTTGTGATTTTTGAAGGGTGAAAAAGGGGCATTTAGTAAGGACACGTTTTTCTTGGAGGCACTATATGCTCATTTTCAGCGAAGGAACTCTGAATCGCGCGTTTGTTGGTAAGTTTATACTTACTGACATTGATTAAGGACTAACTGAGCGACTTGTGCCATCTAGCAGCTAACTATATCTTTCAGCATGTGATCATGTAAAAATGGGGGGGTTATGAGGGGGTAATAAATTTCTTGCGTTTTTCGGGCTTATATTTACTTTGACCGTTCAAACCCGTTCTTTCTGAATAAGATACCAGAAAGTCTTCTTTTAAATTTTGTTATTGCTTTTACCTGTCAAAACACTTCTTGGATAATCTCAATAATCTTATGAAATTATGGGGGGTGGCCATCTTACCTTTATGTACTATCATGTTTTTCCAGATGCAAGTTTTGGATGCACGGGAAACAGCAAATCCTAAAAAATGTTGAGAAAATACCAAAGAGTATCAAACAGAGGCAAATAACAAATAGAGACTACGATGTACCATCTCATGAGGTTAACGCCACGACAGAGGTAGAAAGTGCCACAAGTGAACCATGCTGCTCTGTGCTCTCTAACGATTTTTTCAAGTAGAACTTCACCAGGAGTTCAGTTAGTTTCTGATAAAGTCAGTGATTCTTTGAGGCAAGAAAATAGCAGAGACCTGATAGCACCAGTTTATCATTTGAATATATTTGCCTTTTCCAGTAGCCACTCAGAGAGCCAAGAGGCAAAGAAAGCCATTCAGGCAGGAATTAGAGTGTTAACAAGTGAGAAATATGTAGCCGAACTGTCAGCACTCGCAGAAACAACGCCACCTAGCTCGTTCAGGAAAACTACAGCACTCGCAGAAACGATGTCCTCTAGCTCAGTGATTCCCAAAGTGGGCGATATCGCCCCCCAGTGGGCGAAAACGATACAGAGGGGGGCGAAAAAGTCTAGGGGGGCGATTTCGCGAAACCTGTTTTATGTTCGGCGCATTTAATTCTGTACTCTGTGTGCATTCGCAGGCTTGAATCATGTGGGTGATATTCACACGCGAAAGGATTTCTGGTCTCGTCTTCGCAGAAAGGTACGGTAGTTTGCGTATCCCAGTGGTCGACAAAATACGGCCGGAGTAAAATAATCTGGCCCGGGACGATTCACTGAATGGACCTTTCCCCGACCTTTGACCGCGGAAAATTTTTCCCATACTTTACCATTTTAAAATTTTCGGTGCTTATTTTAAGAGTGGTTTTGCGAGTTGTTGCCTGTAAAATGGGGTATTTGTTTCAAACTATCATTCTAATACACACCATTTAACAATTTGTTTTTTAAAAGTACCGATAAAGAACTTTAGCCTAGTCTATCACAGCTATTTTTACACTAATTTTTGATAGCTGTATTTAAACTGAAACTCATAGAAAGACAAAGTAATCATTGGCTTATTTGATTTATATTTAAATTTCCGAAAAACAACTAAAAACTAACGAATATAATTCAAAACGCAAAAATGAGGTAGTGTTAACGACCACGTCTAAAAATCTGTCTGAGTGAGAGTGTCTGAGCGGATGCGAAAGGGGGCATTGTTACGTTTTTTGCTTCTTGCTGATTGGCCAATGTCACGAAGTAAACATGGAAGTCTATGCCCGGGGAAATATTCAAACGGCGGTTTCGACGATGAAATTTTTTTATTTATAATCTACGCTCGAGGAGTAAATTACATTTTTTTACGTAACAGAATTTATCGTGAGACACGTCTAGCCTTAATTATACTATATCACAACAATTTAGTGAACAGCGACTCGTTTAACGAGCCTACAATTTAATTGTAATTAGACAAATGGAAACACGCAGAAAAGTTGATGCTGAGTGCAGGGGTTCAATAGCGCAGTAAATATTCGAATATATTGCAAAGCACTAAGGAAATAAAATTCATATTCTATTCGGGAGATTCATCACTGCTTGATTTTTATAAGAATGTATCGTCTTAAAGAAAATATTTATCAAAATCTCACAAATCATGCGAAAATATTCACTTCGATGTTTGGAAGTACATATTTGTGCAAACCATTATTTTTGAAAATGAACATTACAAAGAACAAGCAAAGAGGTGGGTTTGGTGATGCCCATTTAGAAAATGTTTCAATCTTGGCGTCGTAAAGCTATCCAGTGTGATGCAGCAACAAGACAGTGTCACATTAAATGTCATTGTGATATTTTTTTAATAAGACGACTAAGTTAAGTTCACGAATTGTCGCAGTTTTCGCACGCTGTTCCGTTTTTAACTTTCAAAAAATATATGCGACCCGCAAAAGACTAGCAACCCTAAATTTTGTCCTGCGAGCGACATAAAATTTGCCGACCCCTTGGCCCTAGCCGATAGTCATTCACGGCTTCTTCCCCATCCGAGTCCATGAATCTAAAAGCAAATGGCTGGTTAATTATGGACTGGAGGCCGTGATAGGATGAGGAATCGGGGATGAACTTTTCCGAAGTATTTTGGTGCAGGTCATCAGGCTGTACGAATGAATGAGATGTACGAATTATTATAACTTTGAGAAAATGTGGAATTTTTAATGTGGAATGGGGTGAATTTAGGAAGTGAAATGCTATAAGGCAGGAGTACACGGCGGTTTTTGAGGAGGTAGAACCCTGGATTCTTTCATTTCCGACCTATTATACGGTGTTTTCAGCCGTGCTACTATTGCTATTAAAACAACGAAATCACCTTTCCATCAGTAAACGGGGTAATTTTAGATATAATAAAAAACTCGCTGAGGAACACCAAGCTCATCTATCTCATTAAAAAACACTATAAACTATGATTTGTCTTCTTATTTGGTATGTAATATATTCGTTTCTGACTTTATATTTTTTTGGTAGTGGAGGGGGGCGATGAAGTTGTATAAACTACTTTAGGGGGGCGATGGTCAAAAAAGTTTGGGAACCACTGCTCTAGCTCGTCTAAGAAAGTTGCAGCTCCCAGGAAGAAAAAAGAAAATAAACGTAAGAATGAGCGACATGAAAGATATTGTTACAGTAACCTCTGTGCTGTCTGCAACGGCAATTTTTTTTGACGACGAAGAGGACGAGGGGTGGATTTAGTGCCAGAAATGCCAAAAGTGGCTTCACGATATTTGTGCCGGGATTTATGGAAAACACATTGTGTCCTTCCAATGTGATGACTGCTCTGCTCGAAGCTTTTTTGTATAAATATTTTCATTCGAATGTAAAATTTCATGACGATAGCTTTCATGCTATCCCAGATGTTCTTTTGGTGTTATGATTAAGATTTGTGTGAAAGTATGATCAAATAAAATTTGATGCTTTACTAGGTGGTGTTTTATCATACTTTCGTGAACAATTATATGGGTTCACAACTTCAAAAATTTAAGGGGTAAGATGGACATAGGGGGAATTTTCGTATGCCCCAAAAAATTTTCCAAATACATTGCTTATTTTGATATTCTGATAAGAAACAGAACGCAATACTAGTATTTTGATGCGATTTTATCACATGTCCGTCATATCCGACCATATGTCCAACTTCCCCGAATTTTTTTTTCGTTCAAAAACGTTTCTGCTGTTGCGATGGTTGGAGACCGGCGGACGCCGCCGAGTGGCTAAAGAGTTCAGCCCCTTATGTTTGTACTTGCAAAGTTTTAGGAATATTTGAAGAAAGTTTTTCGAAATATAGATATTTTTCAATAAGGGGGGCCATCATCCCCCGCCCTACTATATGTGATACCTTGAAAATTGGTGATCGTGGCCGATGTGTTTTTATCTACAACATGTCATCACATACGCTTTTCATAAAAACACCTATTTACCTTCAAGGATTTCTGTTTTCTAGGACTTGATATCTTTTGACTTGCTTTCTGCTAGCATTAATGTAAACCAGTGGTGAACAAACTGTGGCACGTGAAGAATTTAGTAAATTCCTCGAGCAGATACTTAGAAAAACAGAAAATAGTCGATATGAATCGAATTAATACAATACTTTAAACTTAGATTATTTAATATTTTACGCAAACATACATGGTTGGTTAAATTGTAAACAAGAATATTACATAGAATCCATCTTCAATTTCGTTGCAACGACGCACTGTGGCTTGCTGTTTACGACTTGTCGCGTCTATTATCATCGACATAATTACACTCGTGAAACACTTGTCAAACAAATCGCTGAAATGATGCTTTCAGGAATGATGCGTCGAACCACATTACAGGGTGTGGTTGGATACAGTCAGCGGGCCGAGCAAAATCTCGTCGCGAGCCGGATCCGGCCCGCGGGCCGTATGTTGCTCACCCCTGTTATAGCGGCATCTCGACAAATAGAACTTATACGCTTCTAAAAAGCCACGACTGAAGTTTTCATCACTGAAAACGTCGACGAGGCAATGATGCTGTCTGTAGGTTAGTGATGGCCAACCTGCTTTAGAACGCGATCGACTAAAATCTTCAAAATAGCTTGCGATCGACTGATCGGTAAGAAGGTCATACACAAAAACCAATGAGTACTGGATATACAGATAACTAAACATACGCATACAAAAAATTTCACCGCTCCAAAAAGTTCGGCGCCGTGGGGTGCATTTTTAATGAAACTGCCGCAAAAATTTGTATTTCTGTGTTATATTTGATTTGTAAATTTGATTATGTAATTGTACCTGGTGTACGCTTTCATCATTTTTAAGAATCATTCAAATCACACAATTCAGATCTAAGGCCTGAATCGTGAGTGTCGAAAATTCCTCAAAAACACTTGGCAAGTATTCATGTATATACTATCTGAGCAGCAAAAAGTAAATATTCTCAAAACCATAAATGTTACATTTCCCAATTCCCTAGTCCGATTCGTCACTCGCTTGGAATTAGAAAAAAATGGGCATTCTGATACCATTGTTACCGTTGCATAATATACTTTTCCACACTACCCTTGGAGTAGCACAATAACTTTCGCATACTACAGAAGTCATACATAGTACGATCGTTTCTCAGATATTCCCAGACACACGGTATTTGGCAAGTTCATTTCTGAACATTGGCAGCGGCGAAAATTTCATTTGGTATGTAATAATATGCTCAATCGGGCTTTACCAAACTCAAATACCGCATGTGTATTTCGTATTTGGCGTACATTACTGTATTCTACTTGTTTTGAAACACACAACAGGCTGTATGAAACTGGTCCAGGGCAATTTTTTGGGGTTTTTCATTAAGTTCACTTAAAATCAGACGCGATCGACTACTCGAGAAGTGGCGATCGACCGGTCGATCGAAGTGTTGGCCACCCCCACCCACCAATTTTCTTTCCTAACTCAGTCACGAGTAAGGTGGAGAACACAGTAAAGATATCTTGTGAAAAGATCAACTGTTTGAATTTCAGCTTTCTAGCTAAATACCAACACCCCAATAATCTTTTGGAGTTAAATTGAAAACAGTAGCTTACTATTTGAAAACTTTTTAGACGGAAAAGATGCCACCACCCACACCAAAAATTAGATCTTGCATGCACTTGAGAGATAACGGGAAAACAGCAAGTGGATTTTATTACATTAAACCTGATGATGATTTCAAACCAATTGAGGTAGACATTGATATAATATCGAAATTCATTGTAATATACCGGTATATATATATATATATTGCGTTATTTTGCCTTTTTTTAAGTGCTATCGAAGTTAACTTATGGATTGTTACTTGTTGCTGTTTTTGCCAAGACAAAAGTATGCTTTTTTCAATCGTTGGCCAAAGTTTTATTCAGATAAAAATATTAGTGAAAGACTACATTATTTTCTAATTTCACTTTGAGTTTTATGTAGTTGATAGAGATCGTTTTTAACAAATGCGATAACCCGGTGATTGAGTGCTCATATAACGTTGTACGGTGGTGTGGCACCGTATTAATGCCTAAATATTTGGAGCCAAAGGCTATGCAATTTGTTATAGTAAACAACTATGCCATGTATAACTAGAGAATTAGGCCAAGGTGTATTAGGAAGAAAAATAACGTTCAAGTTAAAGCTAATAATTACTATAACAAACATCTAAGCATCGTTATTTCAGACTTACTGCGATATGTCGACTGACGGAGGAGGGTGGACATTGGTTGCCAGTGTACATGAAAAAGATATAATGGGCAAATGTGATATTGATGATCGTTGGACAACCTTTTCATCTGGCGAATATGGTGAAGTCATAATATATATATGTATATATATATAAATAAATTTCAGCATATATGGTATACCCAGTTTGAAATTTCTAACAACTCTACATATTGGTAATCTAAATAAATCAATCTAATAATTATTAGATTAATTATATTTAATTGAGTAATCAATTACTAACTAAATTGTGGTTGAAAATTGTTCAAAAAGAAAGCCACATGTAAGTTACTCGTGATATATATGTCAGAAGCTATGAAGCTAATTAGCATCAGAAAACTATTATTACCACATAGTATAGGGAAGCCCCTACTAAGAAATTTATCATAACAAAAGCTTTGCAGAAAAATTTGAATTATTATGATAAAAAAGAACACATTTTCAATGTTATAATTAAGTTTAAACAAAACCTATACACAACCCACCATAGCTGAGCATTGAAAGCAACATATTTATCTGAAGATTTTTCCGACTTGCTGCAAGTGTAGGAAGGCCATTTTACCACTCCGTTATAATTAACCAACTCATTGTCTATAGCATACAGAATTAACAAAAAAAAATTCAAATAAAATTATACATAATAATAACTTCAGTTGAAACCGCCTGGGCAAACAAAAAAGTGTTTGGTAATGTCATGAACTGCACTGATGATGATTACAAAAATTCTGCATACTTTTCTTCTAAGGTAAGATTATATTGATTACTGTTTTTAGTGTGCTTTTAATCATTCACTATGAGTTCAAAAAGTATTTAGTCAAATTTAAAAAAACGATTGGATTTATTGAGCTATAATAGAAATATGTTTTCATGTGACATGACCCCAGAGTTGTTTTATTGTATATGAAGAAGATCCTTGTCCCTTGATTTGTTGTTGATCATGTTGACTTGCCCTTTTCCCTTTCCCTCCAACAATAGGTTTCAAATTTTTGTTGTTGAAGATCAAAGTATCTTGGAAAGGGTTAGATTTTTCAGACTTTAGTAGGCTTAACCGGATCCTTCATTTCATGCCAAACTTGTCTGATTTAACTTGTTTGGGTATCACGTTTGTTCGCATAGTATAGCTCTTTCTTGAATCCCCAACGCTCCGGTTTGTGACCTTATCTTATCGGTATAAAATGATGTGTGATTCAGGTAATAGTTGTCTAGATCAGCGTTTCCCAAACTTTATCGGCCACGGAACACTTAAACTTTTTATGTAGCGGTGTAATGTAGCGGTGCGCAATGTGTTTTCGTGGCGAGTTGACAAATGCGCCGCGGAAACTAACAGAATTGTCTTACATACCTAAAATATGATTGAATATTTTACATATTGCATGTGTTATAAATGTTTTATTGTTTCTTAATTTAAATGAATCAATTCTGAATGTCGTTTAATTTCCATTACGTAGTGTTTGCCCCTAATGCTACGTCTAATCAGGGGCGGATTATGCCCCTTTGGTGCCCTAAGCACTGAAGACTTTGGTGCCCCCTATGTGTAATTTAATTATAAAAACAATTAACCACATAAGAGTATTATCCATTAAAAATAATCACAACCAACAGTAAATAAAACAACTTTTACGATTATTTTTAGGTTTTTTAACTGTTATATATAGCCGATATACGATATATATCGGCCGTTTACTGCCAATATGATATATCGGCAAACACGCACTATCGGGCCGATATATCGGTTGAGTTCAAATCCTGAGGGAGTGTGACAATACAGATTCATGCTTCCAGTCTCACCGTGAATCGAAATACCAAAGGATACAAGTCACAACTGTAGTTTGAATTTATACCAGTACCTAGTAGTCTACCTCAGGGTGGTTGCTAGGTTGAAGGACCGCAAAAATTTTTGAGAGGTCTCGCGGGCCGCAAGTCAGAGAAAACTTAAAAGTGATCGAAATATCGCGAGTTTACTTACTTTAATTTTAATAAACAAGGAGAGTTTACCGTTCTAATCAGACTATTATTATGTTGCATGGGTGGCGTTCTTTTAAAGAAGATATATGAAGCCTTCAGTTATATTAAAATTAATTACCGAGAATTACCGTTGTATTTTCCGCATCTCGCATTTAATTAATGTCGCTTCAAATTATATTCTTTTGTTGCGGATATTACTTAAAATCAAACCAGACACCGTGTGATGAGCAAGGAAATACGTTTCCGCTGTGTTTTCCTTATTTCACCTTTCTTGTGACACTCATTTTATTACGAATTGTTATATTTGAGTAGGACCTAATATAAAAACTTGCAGTGTGACCAAGCTTAGTGCGATCGTCAAATAACAACCAAGTCCGTCTAAGTTGGTATTCGGAACCTAGCTAAAAAACTGGATTGCGCGGCATTAAGTCGGCTTTGCCTTTCGTCACTACTGTCACATGCTTGAAAACAGAAGAGTGTTTTACTAAAATAAAGGCACATAACGTTAGAAAAAAGGGTTTGAATCTCGGGATCCCAACCCTAGTTGAAATAGCTAAGAAAAAAAAACTCAAAAACGTTCTGCTATTAGATACAAATATACGCTAAAATTGTTCTGTGGGCCGCACGGAATGTATCAGCATGACAGAGTTTGGATCACCCTGGTCTACATTATCAAAAAAACTCCCGACTTCGCTGACCACTAGATCAGTGGTTCTTAAACTTTTTGAGCCGCGCCCCCCTTTGAAAAATTTTGCAAACTTCGCGCCCCCCCCTCTTTTTGCTTTGAAAAAATGCTTTTGTGATGGACAAGTTGTTATATATTAGGATGGCGCTATAAGAATGTTGGTCTCATCTCTCAGAATGTTGTTTAGGCATAAAACGCTTCGGAGTACAACTTCGCCATTCACTGTCATATGTATAAAGCCAAATAGTGGTTGGTCGTCATACATTCTCGTTTTTCCGCTCAGTTTGCAATACTTGGCAATGTCAAACTAATTATTAAGTAAAACTAAACAAGCAATATACCTATGCTTTAATGTATTTTCTGCTTAAAAGTTTACATAAGACACGTAAGATTTCAATCAATTGTTAAATTTCCCTCGACATATTCTTGTGCCGCGAAAACGATTATAAATACTTTTTTTGTTCTCGAATGGAATCATGACACCTCTGAGGAAAACTAGTTAGTTTTTAGTATATAATCATCAGCGACGAGATGCTAAAGATAGAATAAAAAGTGAATCCGTAACTAAAAAGTTCTTTATTGTAAAAGTGGCATTATGAAATACTAAAAATAAAACGGAAAAATCATGAGTTTTGTTTTGGGGTGGACCGCGACAGATTAAAAACACTTTTTTAGACATTGAAAATCTCATAAATTCCTTGTGCGGCGGCACACCAGTAGTGTTCTAAAACTACAGACTTGATATAAATTTTACTCCCTGGGATCGCAGACTTAGGAATATCTGTAACGGTGATATCTTGAAATTAATCGAGTGGCGACATTGCGATAGCGTGGGGTAAGAGTTGCAGGGACAGCTCATATTGGTGAAATTGGCAAGAATACAAATCAAAACAAAATGTAATCGACATTTTTATGGTTGCAGATTACCGTGTTATTTTGGAGTACTGGTGCTTTTATTTTATCGACGCATTCGCAGATTTAATTTTTCACAATCAAATGAATAAAGCAACCATTTTAAATAAGTATATCGATCATGGATTAAATATTTTATTCAACAGTAAAACCATTACATATATATCCGTTGAAAAAGTCGGCTCTTTTTTAACGACTGGCGTAATCTCGGGGACTGACTCAGAAGCCGTACCGCGGGGATTTCGTGTCGATGAATATGTATTTTTCATATACTAATAACTTTACATGTATTTTAATTGTACTGAATTAAATATACTTTCTGGGATATTATACCAGATTTTTCTAATGACGAACGAATTCGCATGAGTGCAATATATATAAAAACTAAATATAATCTGGCAGTTGATCACACTTTATTATGTTCGCGGATTGGCGTGGTATTTTAAATAGGTAATGAGTTTATTTTGTCGTGAGTCGCCGCAACCGCGAGTTACCTTGAACACAAATTAATTAAAATAGAGATACATTTTAAAATATTGTAGTTATTACGAGACAGAAAAATTTATTATAACACGAAAAAGCCGGTATTTTTAACGAACGCGGAGACCATTTCAGGAGCCGTTACATGTAAATTCCTGATTCTATCTTGTGACTTCTCGCGCAACCCCCCAACCCGAACAGTCAGTTGGGCGACAACTTCTCGTTCCATAGATCGCCATGGCGACCATTTTAGACGTATCTTCGATTTCTTTTCCACGGAACACTTCGAAGACACTAGTGTTCCACGGAACACAGTTTGGAAAACGCTATTCTAGATGATTATATTTTCTTTTAGGGATATTTGGGGGGAAGGTATTAAAGATCGTCTTGATAAGTGTCGTATCGTCTCTCGATGTCGTCATGTCTTAACCATCTCCTGTATTCCGTGTCTACAACATTAAATTACTTCAACAACGTTCAACGTGTTTTTATTGGCTAAATTCTAACCATCTTACACACAAGTAATTATTGATATGTTGAAGGCTATTCATTTCATTACAAATATTTCCAGGCGAAGGACGTAATGATATGGCACGTCCCACCAGAACCATCCAACAAAACGATGGAAATGAGGGCAACACTCCGATATAGAACAACGAATCATTTTCTACACACAACTGGTGGGAATTTAAAATCACTGTTTGGAGATATGTATCCGTTGCAATTTGATGCTGGTAAATTTTATTTATTTTTTCATAATGCCATATTTCTTTTTTATAAATATGATTTATCTAGTGGGAAGAAAAATTATCTAGCCTATTTATGGTTGCGCAGTGGATATGCTTCAGATGACTGCAAACCCTTCAAAAAAAATCGACAAGAATTTAAGTAGACAAACTTTGGTATACAAAAATAACTGCAATGTTAGATTTGCTAAATATAAAAAAGTATCTTTTTGATACTGGTATACTACTTACTGTGTATTCACATCATTTTACCGAGATTCAGGTTCAACAGACATTGATGCCTTTTGAATAAACT